AAAATGCTTATTTGGTCTGCAAAAGTGAGACTGCTGGGGATGGAACACAGTTGGAAAAAGAAGAGCAAAAAGCCAAGTCAATGTATGAAAGGTCTATGTATGATTACGTGGACTGCGAGGAGCTTTTGGAAGGGATTGTATACCCAAAGAGGGTGAATCGAAGAGGTGGTATCAACAATTGGTGCACAAGTACGCGAGCTCTGGTGTTGGGCCACTATACTCATGGCGGAGTGTGTGGTATCACAAAAGAGACTCATCGAAGACCATGGCTATGTCGTTATTTGGCATCATTCGTGAGGCACCACAATCCTGAAGCCAAATTTTCTGCTCTTCAGATCTCATGCAATGCTCCGGTGTCATTGCATAGGGATAGTCACAATGAAAAGCATTGCTGCAATTATGTGTGTGGCTTTGGTGACTATAAAGATGGTCAGCTGTGGGTTGAGGATGAAAAGGTCTTAGAGGAAGGAGCTGAAGTGGTGGAGCAATCCTATGGGAAGAAAGTCTTACCTGGAAAATTGGTGGATATCCACTGGAACTTCATGTCGTTCTTTCCGAGAAAGCTGCATGGTCCTATGCCTTGGAAAGGGAACAGGGTATCCTTGACAGGGTACACACCTGTTTTTATGGAGCGTTTGAGCTACAAGGATAGGTGCTATCTTCTCCAATGCAAGTTTCCTCTTCCGGAACCACAAGCTGAAGAAGGTGAAAAAAGGAAGTGGTTAAAAATGACGTTGAGAGAGACCTCGCTGGACGACCTTGCAGAGGAAGTCGACTACGCTGTGTTCGAAGCGCATCAATGGGCTCTAGAGGAGCATTTGAGTATTCGACGCCTAATTGCTGAACAGGAATGTTGCATTTTGGACGAGTTCCATGGATCGGCCAATGAGTCGAATGAGGAGAAAGGATCAGAGACTAGAGAATGGCTGGTTAAAGCAAAAAGGGCTGAGGAACAGCTCTCGAAGTTTTTGGTCAAAGCAGCTCAAGTTCAGCAAATGGTGCAAGAAAATACCGCGCTCGAGGCAGCAGAGGAGGTTGAGTTCCTGCAAACAAAAACAATTCCTACACAAGAAGCCATGCAAGAGCTGGAAAAGTGGAGGGAATCATTGTCGGACGAGGTGACGTCTTTGGTGAAAGAGTTGGAGGTGGTGGAACCAACAACTCAAGAAAAGCTGGACAAATTGGCGGAAGAGCCTAATGCACCGGTGATTGAGTACGTTCCCAGTCTGGTGGTGTTTACCCGGAAGCAAGGGACAGGGAGGCGACGTGCCCGTATCTGTGCATGTGGAAACTTCATTTCGTCAACGGCAGCTACAGAATATGAAGGGCCGAGGTCACTCAGTCGTCACTCGCTGTACGCTCCAGGTTTAGATTCAACTACATTCAGGTGTCAAGTGAGGCACGCAGCATATATGGTGTGGATCATCGCTGGCTTAGACATTTCCAAAGCTTTTCTGACGGCGCCGATGAATAGGGCGCAAAGAGAAGGGCGTTTGGTGGTGGTGCAGCCCCCAAGGGCGGCGGTGAAATTGGGTCTTTGCACAAAAGAGGAGCGGTGGATTGTGAGGAAGGCCTTGTATGGTTTGGCCGAAAGTCCTGCAGCATGGGTGGAGTGGCGAGACCAACGTCTTCAAGGGATGTCTTGGGTGTCAAAGGATGGGCAAGCAATGAGCTTTCAGAGGTCCAATGCAGACCCAAGCCTGTTCCTTATTATGGCACAAGAGAAGTTGGAAGGTGCAAGCAAGTTGGTAGGGACAATGGGTCTTTACGTGGATGATTTTTTGATGGCTGGGACTATGACAGTGCTCCGGGAGGCCTTGGAACAGATTAGGAAGGAGTGGAAAACTTCTGAACCCGAGTTCTGTGGTCCAGGCTGCGGTGATGGATTCCTGAAGTTTTTGGGTGTCCAAATCTGGTATCGAAATGGCAGCTTCTTTCTCAACCAGGAGGACTTTGTGAGAGATTTGCTGAACCGACGAGGGTATCAGATCGATGAAACTGGAAAAGGGAGTAACCTGCCAATGGTGAAAGAAACTCCAGGTGAAGAAGAGGAGGTGGATATTCCTTCCTTGCGAGCGGCTCAAGGTGCCGTAGGGGAGTTCCTCTGGGTGGCAATCAAAACTCGACCTGATTTGGCGTTCTGCACGAGCCAGTTGTCTTTGTGGACATCCCGAAGGCCACGATTTGTGGTTAAAAAGGCTGAGGAAGTTTTCCGATACCTTGCTGCAACTCCAACGTTAGGCTTGACGTTCGGAGCAATCGCAACATGCGAAAAAGAAAGGAATGAGGTGTTGCGTTATGGACGAGGTGTTAAGGTGGTGGAGTCCTACGCGGATGCCAGCTTTGCAGCAGGTGAAAATGAAAAGAGCCACTCAGGAGCGGTGGTGGTGTGGGGTGACTGTCCAGTGATGTGGGCAACACAAAGACAATCAACGGTGGCTTTAAGTACAGCTGAAGCTGAATTACATGCGTCCATAGAGGGAGCAACGATGATTCAGTCGTGCACCCCTATAATTGCCGCTTTGGTTGGAACAGGTGAAGAATCGCTGCAAAAAGTGCTGTATACAGATTCGGTTTCAACGTGCTCGATCATTCAATATCCTGCTGGAAGCTGGAGGACAAGACACCTGAGAATTCGAGCAGCCGGTGTCAGGTCTCTGGTGGACCGTGGTTATATGGTGATAGCGCATCTTCGCGGTGAGTATATGATCGCTGACCTGTTGACTAAGTTGATGAGTGGACAGGTGTACGCAAAGCAAAAGGCACTTTGGGGTCTCCGACTGTTGGTACAAGGGACTGACTTGAAAAAAGCCTCGCTTGCAATGGCGGTCATGATGGTGGCTGCATCTCTGCAAGGGATGGCAACTGGTGGCGAAGAAGTGTCCACGGCTGGATTCTTTTGCTCAGAAGAAGGGGTGTGCAAGGTCGCCAACACGTCTACGGTGATGGTTCTGGCTCAAGGTATTGAAATGGTTGTCAACAATTCAGACCTTGTTGCGTATTTGGTGGCAGCAATTATACTCTGGGAACTGGCATGGTGCCTCTTTCGACGGCTGTATAAATGGCTGTGGATCAAGAAAGCGGTGGTTATTCCTGCGAGTGCCACTTTGTATACAACAGTGGGTGGGAACTGTATGCACGCAAGCAGTGACTGTGATGTTCTGCGATATTCACAGCCCAGGGCTAAGACGCTTTGTAAGCATTGCCTCAAGGATGGCTGGGTGGTGAATGCTGAGTTCCTTGGTGAGGAACGGGCCGCTGGAACGTGAATTTTCCAAGTACGAGGTGAAGAAATCCTCAATGGTAAAGGATTCAGCCAATGAGCTGAAGGTTCGTCCTGGATGACGTTAAACCATAATGTGCATTTCAAGCAGCTGGCTGCTGCCTAACTGGCGGTTTTTGGCCAAAGATTTGCACCTCCAATGTGTCCTAGGAAATCCTAGGACAGGGGGAGTGCGGAGCTGCAATTGGTATTGTAGAAAGGAGTTGGTATTGGAAGTTAAAGGGTCAATGAACCCGATAATCGTTGGCTCAAGTTGGCTCAAGCCATGACCAAAGCGGTCGAAGGTTTCGTAAAAAGTGTGCCCTTGGTTTGGGGTCTTGCTGTTCAGTTGTTGGTTGTTCCAGGGGTATTAAGGGCTTCTGTTGGGGTTGACTGTTTTGTTCCCTGTCCTCCTTCGGTTGCCCCCCGTACCCTAAACTCTAAACTCTAAACCCTAAACCCTAAACCCTAAACCCTAAACCCTAAACCCTAAACCCTAAACCCTAAACCCTAAACCCTAAACGCTAAACCCTATACCCTATACCCTAGACCCTAAACCCTAAACCCTAAACCCTAAACCCTAAACCCTAAACCCTAAACCCTAAACCCTAAACCCTAAACCCTAAACCCTAAACCCTAAACCCGAACCCTAAACTCTAAATCCTAAACCCTAAACCCTAAGCCCTCCCCCAAACAGCAGGATTCCCTTATCATAGTATCAATAAGGTACCCCTAAGTTCGGAAGCCCGCATATTATGGTTATCCAGACTCGTGGTCTTTGTGGTTGCGTGTGTGGGTGTCTTGGGGGGTGCTGGACTGGCCTTCATCTGTTGGTGACTTGCTTCTTCTTTATTTTTTGGCGCATGTCTTTTTCGTTTATCCCGGGTTTCTGTGCTGCTTTCATGGGTTGAAAGTAGCATCACTTTTGGGTTCCTGTGCACATGCTGACACCAACCCATATCGTACACTATTGGCTTTTCTACTGTTGCCTTGTCGCTTTCTTTCACTCAGCCTAGTGCCCTTCTTGTCGTGTTGGGGTCTTCACGGTTGCTCTACCTCCACTGCTCTTCGGGATGAGGTCATCCGGGGCATGTGCCATGGGCCGGTGCATGCCTAACCTTGAGAATCCCCGAAAGCCCGATGCTCCCAAAGAGCCCTGCGCTCTGAACCCAGCGCCTCTGACAGCGCAGGCGGGGCGGTGCCCCCTGCGGGTGGGGAGGCCGTGCTGCTCGTTTGGGTCCAGGGGGGGTTGAGGTGATTGAGGGTTTTTTGCGACGTGGGCTGTTTGGTTCTGGCAGACATCGCGTAGAGCCCGATGCAACATAGGCTGGACCTTAGTGGTTGTGAAGAACCGGGAGAGCTGCGGGTGGATAAAAACAAATGGAGGGCTTGGCCTTTCTTTACACTGAACTGGTCGTTTCTCAGTTCTATTGAAGATAAGACTTATACAAATGTTCGTCATAATATTGGTTTAATTGGATATGGTTTATTTAACAATATTATGTTGTACATGGTTATATGGTGAAATGTATGAATATATCAAAGCGAATTATGCACATGCATATCGAGATGTTTGTATTGTTAAAACTGGTGATGATCAATTATTAATGAGAATCTTTTTAAAAAAATGACGTAATATTCACATCCAATTATAAATATGAAACAAACATGTATTGGTATTGGATCATATGCGAAAGTATATAAAGCATTGTATAAAGATAATATTGTAGCTTTGAAAATGTTCTCTGGCATTGACATATCAGGTAAAAAAAACATCTGTCCTAATATTATGATTGTATTTATATGAATATGATAGAACAACCAACTACAGAAGTCAATTAATAGGAATAAGAATAATAGTAGCAAAAGCAGTAGTAGTACCACTGATGGGAATGCTAATAAGGGTAATAGTAAGGGTTTTGGTCAGGTCGGCTTGTTGATTACCTGAAGCGGCCCTAGGGGTTCTTATATATTCTTATAATGTACAAACCTAAGCATTCTGATACACACAAACCTAGGGGTTCAAACCCTAAACCCTAAACCCTAATCCCTAATCCCTAAACCCTAAACCCTAAACCCCTAAACCCCTAAACCCCTAAACCCCTAAACCCCTAAAACCCTAAACCCCTAAACCCCTGAACCCCTAAATCCCCTAACTCCCCCTACATAGACCCAGGGGGGGGCCCCGGAGGTCGGCCTGGGGCCTGGGGGCTGGCAGAAGCCGACCCTGCGGCCCGCGGTCCAGTGCGGCGCCCGGCAATCCGAAATTCTTAGAGGCCCCTCAAAAGCCCCCTTCAAGGCCCCAAAAGGCCCCTTACACCCTTAAAGGCCCCATAGAGGCCCCTTAAAGGCCCCTTAAAGGCCCTTGAAGCCCCTTAAAGGCCCCCCAAAGGCCCCAAAGGCTCTAGAGGCGCCAAAGGTCCTAGAAGGTCTAAGTTTTTAAGGCCGGTCTTGGGACTGAGGTCTAGGGTTTAGGGTTGAGGGTTTGCTATTCACGTTATATGCGTTGTGTGTTATACAGCCGGTGTATTTGACATTTTTTTCGTATCTTCTGGTATACTAAACAGTACATATTAGATATTCGGTACTACTTCGAGAATATCGAAACGGTTATGTGATTTTGTAATTCTCTCGTGTATTATAATTTAAAACGCTTGCGCGCGCGGTTGGGCAGCCGGGCGGGGAAGGTGAACGAAGGCACGCCAAAGTCATATCTCGCTTGGTGCAGGTTAGGGGTCAGGCGTTCGAGGGGGGGGTGTTTTGGGTCTCAGAGGGCACTCAGGGGCGTCTCAGAGAAGGGCGTCCAACAAAGATCCTAGAAAGGTTTCCGAAAAGCTCCTCGGAAGAGTCCCATAGGCAGTGAGCACTGCACGGGAAGCGCCGCAAGTCACCGAAACAAAAGCTCAAGAGTGGCACATTTTTGCTTGAGGCTTTCTGCAGCGTACGAGAGGGTTCAGGGGGGCATCAGGGAGGCTGTTTGTTGGAGTGTTGGCCCGCGACTGAATTCCTTGCTCCACGCGGTCCCACACAAGAAAGGGGGAGGGGGGGATTTTTTGATTTCTTGGTGGGGCAGGGTTGGGAGAGATCGTGGTCTGCTTGTTCCAGACGCCTGTCGGCGGGAGGCCGAGGCGAATTCTGCCCGTCTTCCGAGAACAAACCCCCAAACCTTAGAGACCCCAAACCCTAAACCCTAAACCCTAAACCGTAAACCCTAAACCCTAAACCCTAAACCCTAAACCCTACAGTGTTCAGCTGGTCTTCTGCAGACCCAAGGCCGAAGAGCGGCAAGGCCCCCTCTGCGGCAGGCTACGCAGGCACCGGGGGGGGGGGGTATCTGTACGTGAAAAAATGTGGGGCTTCCGAAATTAGGGGGTTTAGGGTTTAGGGTTTCGGGTTTAGGGTTAAGGGTTTAGGGTTGGGCAGTTTGCTGTGGAATATGCAGCGCGTGTGTGGCGTGTCAGCCAGCCGAGCTGATCAGGTCGTGCATGCTGCTTTTTCTGGCATCCCGTCCCAGTCGCAGATGTAAGACAAGGGTTTAGGGTTTAGGGTTTAGGGTTTAGGGTTTAGGGTGCAAGTGGCACTTGACTTCTTGGATGCAGAGAGTTCGTCCAGGCAGGCAGTGCAGCAGTCCTAGCCGTAAAAAGGGTTTAGGGTACCTTACTTGGGATTATTTGGGGGTCTCTATTAGGGGTCCCCTATTTTCGTCACCCCCGAATCTGCGGGTTTGCGAATGTGAGGGAAGCCTTTTGGGGTCCCTATGCTAGGGGTTAGAGTCTGATTAGAGGGCTTGGCGGTGCCCATATTCTTGACCGGAATGAGCCGCCTGCGCCTTTGTGCCTGCAATCGCATTTCAGAGTTTCTTCCCAGCACAAAGCCAAACTTGCACGGCGGCACCCGCCCTTTCTCGCCTCGACCAGGAAGGCCCAAGGCGAGAAGGATCTTGAACCCTAACCATAAATCCTAAACCCTAAACCCTAAACCCTACACCCTACACCCTACACCCTACACCCTAAACCCTAAACCCTAAACCCTAAAGCCCCAGGCTCGAAAGCCCTGGTCCTTCAAGCCCCAAATCCCAATCCCCGCTCCTGGCCAGGCTTGCACCAAGCCAAAGCTAAGGCTCCGAGCCTGGCTGGCTTGGGCAAGGCCGGTTTTCGCAGCTTTCGCAGCTCCCTGTGGTAGGGGATGAGGAGAGCATCTGGCACTTATTTGAGAGGTTCGCAAGGAGGTTTCTGGGCGGTCATAATGTATCCAGGCCCGCGCACGCTTACTGTAATGCAAGAATGTCCAATAAGGGACGTGCCCGGTGAGGATGTTGTTTGCCTGCCAGTGGACTGCAGGGATTGTCATTAACTCGGGTCACCCGGCTGCCTTGTTTTCCTCCCATCGACTCGGTTAGTTTCCGCGGAGTGGCTTCTGTGGCATCAGTTGGTGGGCAGCGAAAAACCTCCGCCTGGGGGTCTTGAAGGCGGCGCCAGCGGCAAAGCCTCGATGCGGCCCAGCAGCCTTCCAGCTGATTAAGAAGATCGAGACCCAGGCCTCCAGCTTTGCTTCCAATGGGCATCGGAATATGTCAACGTGGATGTAGGTTTACTTTGAAACACTAGTAGTCACTAGTCACCAACACCAGCACCAACCCCAGCACTAACTACAACTGCAACGGCAACAACATTTGCAAGTTGCTGCTGCGGCTTCTCCTGCCCCTACTCCTACTCCGGCTACTACTGCCGCGGCTACTCCTCTGCTGCTTCGCTGCTATTATGACTACAACTGCAACTGCTACTGCTACCACTGCTATTACTCCTACAACTCTCTTGCTGCTTCTATTGCTGCTGCTGCTACTACTACTACTACTACTACTACTACTACTACTACTACTACTACTACTACTACTCCTACTACTCCTACTACTCCTACTACTCCTAATTACTACTCCTACTACTCCTACTACTCCTACTACTCCTACTACTCCTACTACTCCTACTACTCCTACTACTCCTACTACTCCTACTCGACGACGACGACGATGCACGATTACTGCGACTACTACGACTACTACGACTGCTACGACGCGTGAGCTCTAGATTCCCTCGCCCGGGCTGCCAGCATGGGTTTGGGCAAAATTCCCAAAGAGCCCAAAATGCCTTAAATAAGGAATCCTTTATTAAGGGGTATTGGGCTGTCTGGGTTGGGGCAGACACAGCGCACACGGCTGATTCAACAATCGAGTCTTCAGTAATAAGCCTCAACCCTTAACCCTGAGCCCTACGCCCTAGAACCCATCCTAAATCCTAAATCTCAAGCCCGAAATATACCCTAAATTTTTAACCGTAAACCCTAAACCCTGAACCCTGATCCCTCAGCCTTAAACCGCCCTAAACCCTACACCCTAACCTTAAGCCGTTTAACCGATGAGATGAATCTAAGCCCTACAACCTAAACCCGAAACCCTGAGCCCTAAATCTCAAACCCTAAACCCTCATGCCTTGCCTGTGTGGGAGTCGAAACCTTAACCCTAAATCCTCAATAACGCCCCCCCCCCCCCCCCCCCAAAAAAAAAAAAAAAAAAACACCTGAAATCACCCGAAATCACCCCAAAAACATCACCAGCTTCTTGTGCAGGACTCGCATCTTGGGAGTGAGGCAGGGTGGCCTCAGCCTTTGTTTGGTGCGTTTTCCTCTCCCTCTCCACCTCCCTCTCCACCTCCCTCTCCACCTCCCTCTCCACCTCCCTCTCCCTCTCCCTCTCCCTTTAAGGGTTCAGTAGGGGCGCACCTCCGCCGGCTGGGTACAAGTTTCTCCCGAATTCCCTACTTACAAGCGCTCTCCGTCTTTGCGTCTTTGCTGTGCTTTTTTTGCATCTACCAGTCATCTCTCATTGCCCGTGTCTTTGCCCGCAAGTCTTCGTGATTTGAGGTTGATGTAGTGAGGGCCTCGCAAAAGGAGTTTCGGTTCCACCAGCGACAGCCAGCTGCAGAGCGACTGCTGACATGGGTGCGAGTTTCGAAACCTACCCCCCCCCCCCCCCCCCCCCCCCCCCCCCCCCACAGGTTGGGGAGGACGACGAGGACGAGGAGGGCGACGAGGAAAGCTTTCGGCCAGGAGCCGAGCTGATGTGTGGGGTTTCCCAAAATTAAAGGGGGCCAAGGCAAGGTTCGCTAACAGAGGAGATTCTACAGCATTTTGGGTATGCCTTAGATTCTTTGCCCAAAAAAGGGCCCGGTTTAGGGTTTAGGGTTTAGGGTTTAGGGTTTAGGGTTTAGGGTTTAGGGTTTAGGGAAAGGGGGTTCGGAATCAAGTCTCGGGATGCTTGGCCCTAAACCCTACACCCCAAACCCGAGACGCTAGGCTAACCCTAAGCCATGGCGCCCGATGTTCGCCCTTTGGAGATGGTGCCGCAGAAGCCCTAAACCCTAAACCCTAAACCCTAAACCCTAAACCCTAAACCCTAAACCCTAAACCCTAAACCTTAAACCCTAAACCCTAAACCCTAAACCCTAAACCCTAAACCCTAAACCCTAAACCCTCAACTCAACACTGGAGGTCGGATGAGGATTTCCGCATGGGCCAAGAGGCACTCCCGGCTTCCCTTGGGTTTGGCCAAGGTGTCTTGTGCCGAGCACTGGGGTGTTGTTGAAATTGAAGATTTTAGGGTTCAGGGCTTAGGGTTTACGGTTTAGGGCATTTCGAGAATCTTTAGACCAGGTTCGTGCTGGCGTGGGTGGTTGCTGCAGCTGGAGCTGCCTGCAGTATTCTGGAATGTAGCTTGGGCCCAGCAGCCAAAAAAGCCTTCTTGTGCATCCTGTCCTGTCGCAGAACAGCCGGGGTGGCTTCGCGATGCCGGGGTGAGGGCCCATATTGCTGGGTATGTGGGAGCTGATTTGTTTTTTGCAGGGGGCTTGGGAGCTTGAGTTTTGTAGATTCAGGCTTTGGGGATGAGAGTTGAGAGGGCGGCTAGTTTCAAAAACAGAGTTTTGGGTGCTTTTGGCTTTAGGAGGCTTCGCATCGTCATTTAGAAGCCTCATGAATGATGAGTTGGGTTCTTGCATGTCCTTGGCGAAGAGAGCCGGCCGTTCACGAAGAAGATGAGTTGGGGCCGTGGAGTGATATGGACTACAAGCTGTGTCATATCTCTGAGCTGTACAGGAATCTGCTCGCGTCCATGGTTCTAGTTGTGTTTCTTGGGGTTGCACATAGCAGTGCGGCGGGTTTGGGACGTTGAGCTTCCATGATTCCATGATTTTCCACGGACGGCTTGGAAGATAAAGTTTTACAGTTCAGTGGAGGAGTCGTGGAGAGACCTTGAAGCTGGTGGTACTTGCAGTGTGATGTAGTCACGAATCCAGTCTACACAGGTTGCAAGAATTTCGTAAAACCCTCAACAGTCCAAGCCCAAGCAACATAAGCCTCCAACGCCCCAGCCCCCCCCCCCCCCCAAACAAAAAAAAAACAGAAAATTGATAATATATAAAATAGACAAAAAAACAACAGCTCTTGTCCCTTATGGCGCCGCTGGGGCCTGCGGACTTGGCATTCCCCGCCCCTGCGCAGTGGCCCCACACACGTGTGCCCTTGGCGCACACGTGTGAGGGTTGGGGGGAGTTGAGGGTTGCGGACTTGTTTCAGCGGCCCAGAAGTCACGGAAGCAGGCAAAGGGCAGAGTAAAGCGGATGTCAGCCATGGCCCCTCAGCCCGTCCCGATGTGTCGGAACACTGGGACGTCAGGGTTTGCGGTTCAAGTTCGCAAGTTTGGCGAAGTGCACAGTCATCGTTTCTCAAAGCGACTTACGGTGTACTTGCCTGTTGTTTCGCATGCTGTCACCTTATCAAACCTCAAGCTGTGACCTTCCCTTCCCCTGACCCCTCCTGACACCTCCAAGCCCCGATGGAGGGACCGCCGCATCTCAGGTATTCCTGGACCCAGGCAGTGCACAAGAGCAGGCCGGGCCCAGACTCCAAGGCACAACAGAATTTCAGAACCCAACAGGTTTGGGGTAAAAGGGTTTAGGGTTTGGGGTTTAGGGTCTGGGGCAAGGAGTCCAGATGCAAAAAACAGGGTTTGGGTTTTTTGGGTTTAGGTTTCGAATTAGGGTGCCCGAAGGAAAGACCGAACAGCAAAACCCCCACGGGCTGCTTGCCTCCGCGCACTCCGTTCCATCAACCTCGGCTTGAGCCCCGCATTTCGCGCTCGCCCCACTTGCCCGAAATCGCCCCAAAAATTGCCCCAATTCGCCAAGAGAAAGCGCCAAGAACCTCAAGCCGAACCCTGCCCAACCCCTGTGAGAGGCCTGTGAGATCATCCGGCGCACGGTGTCCCCTGAGGCGCAAGCCTACTTCCAGAGGATCCTGCGGGCGCCCTGGCAAGAGACTTAGGGTGTAGGGTTTAGGATTTAGGGTTTTGGGTTTAGGGTTAAGGGTTGAGACTTTCCGGCCAGGACATCATAGCCCGGATGCAGAAAAAGGGTTTAGGGTTTCAAAAAAGGTGTTTAGGCAGGTGCGCACCGGCAGGTAGCAGGCCTGGCTGGAAGATAAAACCACGATCATTCGGGGCTTCAGCTAGAGGTGCCTTGGTTTTGCCACAGCTTGGGGTTGAGGGTTTATGGTTGCCATTACAACCCCAAACTGACCGAATTCCGAGTCGCGGAGCCGTGGGGAGCGAGCTCGAGAAGCCCAGGTGACACACAGCGAGCTCGAGAAGCTTCTCATCCACAAGGTCACGCAGCCTGGCGGCAGGGAATGACAGGGTTTAGGGTTTAGGGTTTAGGGTTTAGGGTTAAATTTTTAGGGTTTAGGTCTTAGGGTCTCTGACTCTAGCTTTTCTTCAGGTTCTTGGCAAGCGCTCTGCCTGCAGACCCACAGCCTAAACCCCATGGAGCCCGGAAGGGGCCTCGAACCTGCCTGTGCTAATCTCGAAAACCCTAAACCCTAAACCCTAAAAACAGGCGGGCATAGACTGAGTTCCTGAGACCCCAGAACGACTTGTTGCTACGGAATGTACTATTTCGCACATTCGGGCCGCCCTGTCGCTCTCCCCAAACCATATCCGGGTTGTTGTGTACACTAATCCTGTCATCTTGTGTCATCAGGGAGAGGGGCAGAACGGCAGTGCAGCACAGTGGCTGAGGAACTGGACGTGCACAAGTAGGGGTCGTGGAGCTTAGTGTGTTGTTACATGTTGTGTAGGGAACTCATGATTGACTCTCGAGATAACTCCTTCGACCCCTTATGTACCAGTCGCGCGGCACCTTTCAAGCCGCGCGGGGGCTGAACACAAGCAGCCTCCACAAGCAGGGACGGGGGAATCGTGGGAAGATGTGGAACCTATGCACTGGCCACAGGCGGGCCTAGAATGTAAATTGGACTATACCCGGGCGATTCACCTTTGAGATGCACAATTGCGGGCCACCTTTAAAGGTCTGCAGACCATCCAGGGATGAGCCGAGTAAGGACCTAAGGCATGCTTTGGGGGGGGGTAGGGTAAGGGGTACTCCCTAACATGTTCGGCCCATCCTGATGAAGCCATGAGGAAATGGTCCCTTTGCAAGCCCCACACTCATGGCGCTGCACTGCATAGCTGATCCGCCCCCCTCAACAACTTGTGTCTGATGTTGCTGCGGTTGTTAGGGCTATGGGTATGTTGAAGGGTGAAGGGTTGGCTGGGAAAGAAAGAGGGCAGTGGAACAGCCTATGCCGCATAGATACGCCGCCCCGTCCGAGCCTTGATGGGCCTGCAAGGGGAAGGCCATGAGGAAAGCTGCAAGCCATAGCGAGGTCAGGCTTGGGGGAGGGCTTCTTTGGCATTTTGGTTGGTAAGCGTTGTGTATAGCTGTCTTCATTGAGCCGTCGAGCCTGACCAAAGTAGAGTTGCTAGTGTTTAAGGGTCTACCTCCCACACCTCCCTGAATGGGAATGCTGTTTCCGGTGTGTGATCTGGTTGAGGATGCGGGAGGCCACCTTGACGGTAACATTTCCTACCCTGAATGCCAATGGCAACTTCCCGTGGTGAGCCTAAGTCTTACCCTGGGATTCTTCTTTCGGTTTTCCGAGACCCACTTAGCGACCCCGCTGGGCTGTGGCTAGTCGGGTGCCAAAAAAAGCCCTAAACCCTAAACCCTAAACCCTAAACCCTAAACCCTAAACCCCAAACCCCTAAACCCTAAACCCTAAACCCCAAACCCTAAACCCTAAACCCTAAACCCCTGAAACCGTAGACCCTGGTGCCCAAACCCGGAACGTGTCAAGCCCCAGCCCCCGAGGAACCTCTTCGATCCCCTGGGCGCTGAAGGGCCCTGCAGGCGGCCGATGCCTTTCGCGTGGGAGGGCATTCCTTTGTCGTAGTGGGACAACATTTTATATGCTTAAGGGTAACTAATTTTCATTGTTATCCCAACCATGATCTAGATTCGAGGTTTTGGGTCAGCTTGTTAGCCTTGTAGTAGCACTTACTGTACCACAAGAGGGGGGGGGGGGTGAGGGGGGTTCGCAGTGGGGAGGGGGTTCGCATTCGAGGTGTTTAGGGATGGAAGGTTTGAGGTTGAGGGCTGCTGCTGAGGTTCCCAGGCTCAAGGAAGAGCGCCCGGCTACGGCTCAAGCAACGGCACCGGGGAGTCATCTTTGAAAGGCAAGAAGGGGCCCCTGCACCATGATGCGGCTCTTGTCGATCCTTGCCGTCCTGGCGGCCGCCGTCGGTCAAACCGATGATGAGGTCCTTGACCAGGCGGCCGTGACTGTGGACAAGTATTGCGCAGTCCTCGACACGCTTCCCGAGCTCGACGTGGGCGCGGCGCGCGAGGACCTCGAGAACGGCGCTGGTGGTCCGGATAACTTCGTCCTTCAGCTCATCGAGGAAGTGGGATATGCCCGCCAGAATGGCGACACCCCTGGCCAGCTTTCAGAGAAGCTTCAGGAGATCGCAGACCCGGGCTTCGTCATCGGCAAGGCTTTCGCTCTGGTCCTCTCTATCTTGACCCTCGTGTTCTCGCTCTGCTGCTGCTGCTTCATCTGCTGCCCCTGCCTCTGCCGGGTGTGCTGCCCGTGCTGCCAGCGCAAGTGGAGGACCGGCAAGATTTTCAAGGCCATCCTGTGGCTCCTCTTCGTCGCATTCGGCGTGGCCGCAGTCATCATGGTCTCCACATCCATGGCGGGTGCGCAGAACATTGACAACGGAATCTCCGGCACGGCATGCTCGGCCGCCACGCTGATCGAGGACGCCGTGGCGGGAGCTCCAGCGTACAACTTCACCGGGCTCCTGCCAGCCTATAACACACTCAACGGACTTGCGACCATCCTCAACCCAGGTTCTGATTTCCTCACATCCCTGAACAACATCATCGCGCGAACGGAGGACATTCAGCTGGCTGTGAACCTTGCGAGTGGCACGATCAGCGCCCTGGAGACCATGATGAACAACCCGCTCAACATCGACCCGGTGTCGAATCCGGACGACGCTACTTCCCCCACCATGTATCACAAGTGCCAGGTGTGTGAGACCCTGGGAACTGTCCTGGGAGAAGTCAACGGCGTCTTCGCATCCAGCACAGGCGAAGCCATGGCGCAACTGCGTGGCAAGATCGAAGAGAATCTTCAGGGACAGGCTGCCGAAGACCTCCGCGTCTCCATCACGCAGGCGATGGAACCCATCCAGGCGGCCAAGGATGCCTTCATCGAGCAGGTGGGCTTCTTCGTCCAACCCGACGGCTTCCAGAAATCCACTGAGATGGTCGCTGGCGAGAAGTCCATGTTGCAGCCAGCCGTGCTGCTCTTCTTTGCTTTCTACCTGCTTCTGGCCGTGGGCGCACTGATCGCTCTGGGCCTGTGGTCTTGGAAGGACCAGCAGGGCGAGAAAGCTGATCACTGCTGCGTCCGGTTCTGCACTGGCTGCGTCTCGCTGAGTGCCTGCTTCTACGCCTTCTTCGTTCTTCTGATCTCAGGAATCCTGGTGGTCGTCGCTATGTTCGGAAGTGGTCTCTGCTTGGTCATGATCGACTTCAACCAGGAAAGCGGCGCGTCCCTCATGGCAGCAGTGGGTGAAGACGTCCCACCTTCGGTCGACATGGCCCTCAAGATTGCAGACAGGTGCTTCAGCCTGACGCATCCCGAGTTCAACCCCGGCTTCAGCCGCAATCTGGCAGACATCGTCGACATCCCTGCAATGAGCGGCAACGGAACCTCGACCATTCGCCAAGAGCTCTTTGCTGTGGCCCTGGATCCCATCATGCAGCAGATCGACAACGCCCAGGCCTCCCTGGCAGGAGATGGCAGTGCCCCTTCTCTTGCCCAGGACACCAAGACGCAAGAGCTGCTCGCAATGATTGGAGCTCTGGACATGGCGGCCATGTACCTTCCTGTGGAGTCCAAGATTGCGGCCTCGGGCACCTACGCCGAGATGCTGGAGGACGTTATGGGCTCGACGAGCCCCTTCAAGGCCTACTTGGTGAACAGCATCTCCTGTGCGAACGTGTCTTTGAGCGAAGACCTCGGTGAGCTTGGCGGCCAGTCCGTTCCCGGGATCACTGCCATGGCCTCGGACGGATTTACTGTGAGTGGCAATGACGTTCCGCCGCTGTCCTACTACATGGACACGCCTATGACCGGAACATGCCCATCCCTCACCGGCGGCACCTGCAACAACAACCTGACGATGGCCATGTTTGAGCCCGGATGCCAGGCTGCAGCTGCCTTCCTCCAAGACGTCAAGCAAGTCATGAATACGGCGGAAGTGTTCGACTGCACCTACATCATCACCAGCCCGACAGACGTGACGCCATGCTACCCGCGCAACATGTTCAAGGATGGCAGTGGCACCTGGCAGAATACCTGCCTCCACACCGACGGCAACGTCTACAGAAGAACCCGGAAGTGCACCCTCGCCGAGTTCAGCGCCTTCGTCAAGGGTGCCGAGCAGGACATCCAGAAAACCTTCGAGTACTTCGACGAGATCACTGCCAGCCTGCTGGATGACATCATCACCGACATGAAGGACCTTGTCCAGACAGACATCATCGCCCCGGTGGTGGGCCTGCTTGACATGCTGAATTGTGGTTTCATGCGCAACTTCTGGCAGGGCCTGACGGACAACATGTGCTACCGCGGCATGAACGGCTTCCGCCTGATCGCGAACAGCTACGTCATTAGCGGCCTCCTGAGCTTCTGCATCGCGATCCTCACCATCGTCCCGTGGAAGATCTCGAGGGACAACGCCGACCGGGTCCTGAAAGAGGGGGGTGGCGAGGCGCCTGTGGTATCTCAGACAGTCTAAATATGCCGCTCGAGCGGGCCCCTTTCAACGCCATGTCAATACTGTTTGGCATACTCTTGATCGTCAGAGATGCACGTCCTGAGGCCGGTCCCGAGTCATCCGCCTGGAACCCACGAAACTAACCAAAACAAAGCCATGAAGCCTCAACAGCAATCACCGGGTTGCAGGCTGGGCGCTCGATTTTAATCTTCGCATGTAGCATCGCCGCCAAAAGCGGCCAGCTGCACTGCATTTCCGGGTTTAGGAGGTAGGGCATGGCTCTTGCGGTTTCGACCGACGTTGGTTGGAACCTCTTCAAAGGCACAATGTTGCCTACGTCCACACTCGGCTCTGAAGATCCAATACGACAGCCTGCAGATGCCAGATCGTCAGCAATGTCATCGTCCTACAATCCCCAGAGTCCGAAATACAGCCCCCAAGCTCCAGATCACAGGGCGGAGTGTGCCACGACTTTTCTGAGTGCTCTCGAGCTTGCGGCGGCCTTTGCCGTGCAGTCCATGCTTTGGGGGGTTCTTTTCGCCCCGAAGGAGAGGCCAGCACACCGCCGAGGGTCGCGAGACGAGGGGGCTTACGAAAATAGGGGACCCCCAAAATAGACCCCCGCATAGTAGGACTCCCTTCTAATCAGGGCCCCTTATTAAGGTAACCCCAAAAATCGTAAACCCCCCACGACCTGCTCCGAGAAAAAAATGTCCTAGTGTCCTAGATCATGGACACTGGGACCCCCGGAGCACGTCGGAGACCCTCATGCAGGGGGGAACCCTCGAACATGTACCTCTCTGTTCTCAGAAGTACATAGCTAAAGATATAGACAAAGATAGATGACATGAGACAAATATCTAAATACATATCATATCGATATGAATATGTATGTTCATGTATGTACATATACATATACATATACATATACATATACATATACATATACATATACATATACATATACATATACATATACATATACATATACATATACATATACATATACATATACATATACATATACATATACATATACATATACATACATACATATACATATATATATATATATATATATATATGTATACACATATATGCAAGCCCGCATCTTCGAGGCTCTTAAAATTCAAGATGATCCCGAGGGCCTCCCTGGCTGAGGAGTCTGCACCACGCACAACACGCGGACCATGGCAAGTTGGAGTACACTCCGCGCTTGCCGAAAGAGTCGAGGGTTCAGGGTTTAGGGTTTGGGGTTTAGGGTTCAGGGTTTAGGATTTTGTCTCAGAGCAGGTTAACTGGGGACGGAATAAAGTGGACAAAGCTCTATACGTAGGGTTCAGCCAGGCTTTTAACGCGTACGACTTGCATGCGTGCATCGGTGTCGACGACCCTGCTGCTGACACTACGACGGAATGAGACGCAGCTGGCTCAACCTCAAACCCGAAGCCCCCGCAGAAACCTCTAAGGCAAGAATGCCGGAAACGGAGTTTGAAGGACATGCAACGTCCCCGCGAACTGGATGGTCAGCTTGTGAAACCCCAAACCCTAGCAACCCCTAACGAACTTCGTGGCCGGCCAGGGCAACTCCAAAGGGAGAGCAGGGCAACCTGCTGCAGGCGCAAGAGCTTCAAGGTTTTTTGGTTGGGGGTCCAATTTCTCCAGGTTGACAGTGTAGGGGTCTTAGCCTGTTGGGGTCGCAGGGTTTGTACGCTGGGTCAAGGACCTCTGGTTAAAAATCCCTGAGGGACCCACAACGTCGGGCCCTGAATGGTGTCGCCGCACCCTGGCTTCAACCAGCGCCAGACCCCACATGCCTTCCAAAAACTGTCTTCAAAGGGTTTAGGGTTTTGGGTTGGCGGTTTGGGGTTTGGGGTTTAGGGTTTAGGGTTTAGGGTTTAGGGTTTAGGGTATAGGGTTTAGGGTTTAGGGTTTGCGGTTTATTGGGTTTAGGGTTTGGGGTTTAAAGGGTTTAGGGTTTAGGGGGAGACCCTGGTGCGGGCCCTTAGGGATGCTGCAGCCGCGTGCGTTTCAGTCCTTTCCCTTCGCTGCACAGTGCGGCAGGATAGGGTTTAGGGTTTAGGGTTTAGGGTTTAGGGTTTAGGGTTTAGGGTTTAGGGTTTAGGGTTTAGGGTTACTAGAGTATATGGGGGGGGGGGGGTATTGAGTATTGGGGGGTACTGTAGGGGGGCGGGGTGGAATATTAGGCGAGGGGAACGTTCACCGCATACCTGCAACCTGACACTTGGAGGCTCATGGTACTTCTTAAACCAAGAAATAACTGTGCTTCTCAGCCACTGAGAAGCCCCTTGAGTGCCCTAATTTTCAATCAGAATTGGGTTAAGAAGTACCCTGAAGCTCCAAGCAGGAGAAGTGCCGGCTGCTGAAGGAGAAGTCCTCGGCCGAGGGCCAGCAGCTGACCGCCTATGTTTGCACGGTGCTGTCCAGGCACTCTTTTTTTGGGCCTTTTCTCGAGACAAACTGAACTCGGCGGTTTAGGGTTTAGGGTTTAGGGTTTAGGGGTTAGGGTTTAGGGTTTAGGGTTTAGGGTTTCGGATGTCTTCAACGCGTGGAAGGAGTCTGATCCCCAACGGTAACGGACCATAGCAAGCGGCACGGGATGGACGCCATGGCCTTTTGCCTATGGGCTTTGTCCGCGACGCGGGTTCTACTTAGCAGCCATGCCTTCAAACATCCTGGAAACCCTGAACCCTGAACCCTAAACCCGAAACCCGAAACCCGAAACCCTAAACCGCCGGGGTCAGTCGTAGTATGCCAAACGCAGGATCATGGTCGACTTCAGCCACTTCGCCGACCTCGTGCTGCGCTGGGAGCGGGCCGAGCCGGGTACGGAGAGCTCGGAGGCACAGGGAGGTCCTAGAGCCTCCTAGGCCTCAGGGCTGCCAACCTCCCATCCTGAGCCTGCGAGGCCTTCGGCCCCGACACGGAGCAGGTCCACCCCAGCGGCTTGTTCCGTCGGCAGCAGTGAAAGAGTTGCGCTGTTGAACCCGTACTCGTCGCTGAACCCCCGACTTGCCTTCTGCCCTTGCGGGGGGCGCGCTGAGCTCCATCCCAGCCAAAAAAGGCACGCACGGAGCCCGGAAGATTGAACCCCGAACCCTGAAAGTAAGCTGAAGCACCCAAGCCCTCCCCCCCAACCCCCTTGAATCCCGAGCCCTTCATGCCGCAGAGGTTGCTGGAGCGCTTAGAGCGCCAGGACCAGCAGAATACGGAGTTGGAGGCTGACGTCTTGGGTTTCGCCCAGGTGCAAAAGGCTGAAAGGGTTCAAGGCTCCCCGAAACCTCTGGAGCCCCTGTGCGTTTTGGACCTCCCTCCAGGGTTTAGGGTTTGGGGTTTGGGGTTTAGGGTTTAGGATTCAGGGTTTAGGGTTTAGGGTTGAGAGGTTGGTAGAGGGTTTCTTTTTACCCCCCAGCCCTTAAGGTCAAATACAGCAACTTGCAGGCGGAGTTGCGGGACACTGGGCGGCCATAGTCTCAGGTTCTAGGGAGTTTAGGGTTAGGGTGCTTTTAGGGTTATGGTGTTTAGGGTTTAGGGAGCATGCTTACCCCTTCAGAGGCCTGGATGTAAAAGGGTTTCGGGAGTGTAGGGTTCAGGGAGTTTAGGGTTTAGGGAGTTTAGGGTTTAGGGTGTTTAGGGCTGAAGGTGCAGGCTTAAGGGTTCAGCGTATATGATCAGCCTAAGATTAGACCGGTAGTTCTCGGGGAATTCGCTGCAATCGAGGTAGAACTACCTCGCGCCCCCCCCCCCCTCCCGCCCCCCCAAAAAAGTGAGGAACGGCTGAATGGGGAAGGCAACAAACATGCTAAGTAAGGGCATTCATATATGGAGTCGGCATGTTCGATTGGAGCTCCTGAAGTTAGATGCCGTTGCTCACCCTGAGCTGTCGCGATTTTGCCCACACCCAACAGCCCCAAACCCCCCCCGCCCCTACCCCAAAAGTCCTAATCCCAAACCCATGATCTTAAACCTACTGACCAGAGCCTCCCTTGTCAGTGTGAGAAACCCGAAACCCCAAACCCAAAGCCCTCTCAGTCCAAATGCATCCCCCTGCTCAGCCCAAGGAGAAGAACCGGCAGTTCCTCCGCGACCGGTCTCTTTTCAGGCCACTCTCTCCCTCTCTCTCATCTTTCCCTCATCTCTCTCTCTCTCTCTTTCTCTCCCTCCTCTCTCTCTCCCCTCTCTATCTTTTTTTTTTTTTTCTCTCTCGCTCGCTCATCGTTCTCTCTCGCTCATACATGCACATGCATGGTATATAGCCCCGAAGTCGCTGGCCTTTGCATAGCTTTCTTCTGTTTGAGTTTCGGGTTCATGGCTCAGGGTTTATGCCTCGTTGCTCGAGTACGGGTGCTGAAATTCTGCCCGCCCCCCTACCGCCAACCCTCCCCAGGGAAAGGATTCGGCTCCTGCGAGCATACGCCCTTGCTGCTGAAGACGCCGAATTGCTTCAGCTGCTGGACAGTGTTTAGCCACCCCACTAGCCTTGTGCCCTCTCTTTTTTTTTGTAGTAGTAGTAGTAGTAGTAGTAGTAGTAGTAGTAGTAGTAGTAGTAGTAGTAGTAGTAGTAGTAGTAGTAGTAGTAGTAGTAGTAGTAGTAGTAGTAGTAGTAGTAGTAGTAGTAGTAGTAGTAGTAGTAGTAGTAGTAATTTTCAGAAGAGCTCGGGATTCAGAAGCTGATCGATAGTTCATCTGCGCTGCTGTGAACCGAACTGGCTGACACTCCGATCCACGCTGGCGCGCTGCCAAGGCTGTTGCAGCACGACGTGCAGTTTTACCACGAGGAGAAGGGCCAAACCGTGGAGGACGTCAAGGACTGGCAGCCTACTTGATCGTCTTTTTTGGCTTAGGGTTTAGGGTTTAGGGTTTAGGGTTTGGGGTTTGGGGTTTAGGGTTTAGGCTAGAAAAGGATTTGTACAGCCTTTGTGCTGAAGCCATGCCAGGCCACACTGAAGGCAACCCCCGGAGGATCAGCTTGCAAAGCGTGTCGGCTTTTCACGTTCCCTCACGTTACGCACAGGTCCGGACCGTCTTGTGCATGCAGCATGTCACCCCGCCCCCCCTCCCGGAGCTTATCCTGGAGCTGGTCAGGTCTCGCTGAATGTTCACCTGTTTTCAACTCATGGCTGCGTACTTGGGTTGCGGGTGTGTCTGTCTTGTGTTTGTCCATGGGACCTTTTGGGATGGCACTGGGTTAGGGTTTTGTGTGCGATCCTGCTGCTTGAAGGTTTTTCATTCGCAAGGTGGGATCTCTTCTCAATCAGTGATACGCGGCATTGACGGGTTTCTGCAGACAACTTGGCAGTGAATGTGCGCAACGAGATTAGGTTGTGACTGTGCGACTCAAGTATGTTAAGGGTAGCACGGGTAATAGTAAGGGGTGGTCGCAAACTCTAAACCCTGAACCCTGAACCCTGAACCCTAAACCCTAAACCCTAAACCCTAAGCCCTAAACCCTGCAGCCATTTTGGCTCATGCATTTCCTGCTCCAGCTTTTGTGTGCCCTCCCGCAAACTCTCGCATCGCCATGTCAACGGACGCTGCCACTGCCAAGGCTGGGGTGCCGAAGAGGCGCGCTGCGCGGAAGGCCCCCGCACCTGACCCTGCTGTGGAGACGGGTGAAGAACAGTATACCGCTGAGGAGTGGGCAGCATGGGAAAAAGAAATGGAGCCCTGGCAGTGCGCAAACTTCAGCATCTGCCACATGTACTTGGAAGGGCAGAAGGCACAGACTGGCACGATGATGTGCCGCAAGTGTGGGACTGCCGGCAGGTCCGGCTGAAGGAGGCCCAAGAAGCAGCCGAGCTGAACGGCCTCAAGGCCGTTACGCACATGACCTTCTTCTTCCGTGTGGGCTGCGTGGAAAGTGAGACGTACGGTGTCTCGGAGGACCTCTGGAATCGGCTGAAGTGTCGGGCCAAGGCCGAGGCCTGCGAACTGGCAGCCGAAGAAGAGGAGCTAAAGAGCCCCGACGGGAGTCAGCCCGGGAACACACTGGCGGCGAGGATGACCAGAGAAAAAGGAAGGCCAGCAGCCTGAGCACAAGAGCGACTGCAAGGAGCACACCACCACTGACGCGGAGGACGCGGAGCCGAGTCCCTTCGAGCTCCCGCCAGCGAAATCTCCCAGGACAGCGAGGCGAAGAAGGACGACAAGGCCGACGACACTTCGCCACACCCGTGCAGGTGGGGAGAAGTAATGATTGGTGTGACCCCCCCCCCCCTCCCGCATGGATGTGCGGTTGACGGCCGGGTTCGGGGGGGGCCAAGGAGGGGGGAGCGCAGATGGGGAGCGTGACATTCGGTTGTGTGTGTGTGTGTGTGTAACTTGCTGTACATGCAGGATTGGGGTCACACCCTTCTTGGCTTTGTTTTCACTTGCAGGGGACCGGGAGGGTGGGGAGGGGGTCCCGGTCAACGAAGACCCCCCTCCCCAACCCGTGCAAACGTACCTGCTCTTGTCTGCCCATGGACTCCTGCGGGAGTAGCTTGGGGGACCTCACCATTCGTTCATCTTCCATCTCACTTCGCGTTGCATCATTCCCGGTGTCTGGTGCAACATGGGCTGCACCCATACCCCTCATTGGCATCATCTCATTTGGTATTACTTGTGCCATTCCTGGTGTCTGGCACAGGTTGGTACAAAATTCTTCATTTCACCCTCATGATGATGTGATGTTTGATCCAGTCGAGAGTCCGTCTCATCAGTTCCAGACAAGTCAACGTGTGTATGGTTCTGGCGTGTTGTCCCGTCACGGGGCCAGATCCCAGCAGACCCGGGCATCCGGGATTGACTGAGCTCTGCTGGCTGAGATACTCATTCATCGGGATCATCTGCAGTAGGCTTTGTGACATGAGTGAGTGCGAGCACAGACATGTCATCGGGATCATCCAAATTGCAGACGCAGGGGTACCCGGACGGCACTGCTTTGTGACTTTCGTAATGCACCGTCAGCTGTGAACAGGTAGTTTGACTGAGGCTGCATCAGGTACGGACACATGTCCTCCCCGCTAATGTTGGTAAAGTGGTGTTGTTCTCCCTCTTGTTGGTGTTGGTGGATCTTCTCTGCACTCTTGTTGGTCGTTGTTCATGTGCTTGCCATGGCATGTTCCCTTCTGCTAGTGTTGGTAAAATGTTGCTGCGCTCCCTCCGGTTGTGGTGCTGATCTATCTCGCCTGTTCTCCGATTCAAGATATGTGACATGTCTTTGTCCTGTCCGCCCTCTCGGGGCATGATGCTGCTCTGTGTGATGCCGACGATGACAGGCAGACACCTCACTGCCCTTCGGGGCATGTGTGTGTGTGTGTAACTTGCTGTACATGCAGGATTGGGGTCACACCCTTCTTGGCTTTGTTTTCACTTGCAGGGGACCGGGAGGGTGGGGAGGGGGTCCCGGTCAACGAAGACCCCCCTCCCCAACCCGTGCAAACGTACCTGCTCTTGTCTGCCCATGGACTCCTGCGGGAGTAGCTTGGGGGACCTCACCATTCGTTCATCTTCCATCTCACTTCGCGTTGCATCATTCCCGGTGTCTGGTGCAACATGGGCTGCACCCATACCCCTCATTGGCATCATCTCATTTGGTATTACTTGTGCCATTCCTGGTGTCTGGCACAGGTTGGTACAAAATTCTTCATTTCACCCTCATGATGATGTGATGTTTGATCCAGTCGAGAGTCCGTCTCATCAGTTCCAGACAAGTCAACGTGTGTGTGTGATATCTGGTTGAAGGGGTAATTAGTCACCTTCCACGCCCTCCGCGCCCTCCGCGCCCTCCGCGCCCTCCGTGCCCTCCGCGCCCTCAGCGCCCTCCGCGCCCTCCGCGCCCTCCGCGCCCTCCGCGCCCTCCGCGCCCTCCACCCCTCCCTCCGCGCCCGCGCCCTCAGCGCCCTCTGCGCCCTCCGCGCCCTCCGCGCGCCCTCCGCGCCCTCCGCGCCCTCCGTGCCCCCGCCCAGGACACACTGTGCTGATGCTTATAAGGGTGCATTGCGTCTATTCTGCGGGTGCGTTGCGTCTGTTCTGCGGCGGTTTCCTTTGTAAAGTATTCGTTCACAAGGCACGCACGTGCAGCATAGCCTCTAAGTGTCCATCTTACGGGGGGGGGTTCTGGCTTTATATGATTTTAAAAGGGATGAGATTTTTCATGAATTCAAAAGGGGTCCATATGTTAAAAGGGATCCACATGATTTTGAGAGGGATGAGTTTATATGAGTTTAAAGAGTATCCATCTATCCCAACCAAGCCAGCCCGCACAAAAAAAATCCGGGGAACCCTAACCCTAAACCCTAAACCCTAAACCCTAAACCCTAAACCCTAAACCCTAAACCCTAAACCCTAAACCCTAAACCCTAAACCCTAAACCCTAAACCCTAAACCCTAAACCCTAAACCCTAAACCCTAAACCCTACACCCTACACCCTACACCCTACACCCTACACCCTACACCCTACACCCTAAACCTAAACCCTAAACCCTAAACCCCACACCCTGAACCCTAAACTGCAACCCCCAAACCCCAAGCCGCAGGAGGAGTATGAGAAGAAGCTGTCGGCCCAGGAGATGGCTTGGAAGGAGGTGGTGAAGGCACCTCCGGGGGTTTAGGGTTTAGGGTTTACGGTTTAGGCTTTAGGGTTTAGGGTTCAGGGTTCAGGGTTTAGGGCCCCCCTCTATACTATCCCTCTAGGTAGCCCCTTTAAAAAAACTTACTTTAGGCTTAAAACTCTCCCTGAATAGCCTGATTTGTGGGGAAACCTGGGGGGGGGGGGGGGGGGGGGTAGTACAGAGTAGATAGTAAGGTAGTAAGGCCATAGGGGAACCCTTATTCTTAGAGCAGAAAAGGACTTGTGAGCCACTGGCGACAAGAGACCGGAAATGACAAAAGGTTTAGGACCGCTTGCCTCGGACCTATGGAGCTCCTTTTGGGTCAAGCCTCCCCAAAAGCCCTTGAACCACACAAGCCCTGAGTTTGTGGCTCGCGTCTGGCCCTGAGAGCCTCAAAGCCCTACAAGCCCCCAAACGGCCCAAACCCACGACCCAAAACACCGAGGAGCCAAGCTTTATTCTGAAACCTTTTTGCAGCGCTGGTAGATGCATGTTTCAGGGTTGGGTGTAGTTGCGGGAAGGCACCTTTCAACTCACAGTTGGAAAAGATCGGCAATCAATCCCCGAGGAGAAGGATTATGAGATACAGGCCATCCAGGAGGATATGGCGCGCATCCAGGACGCCCTGGTGCTTGCCGTGGCTCATGCCGAATCGGGGTTGGGCATGCGATGATACTCGTATCTTCGTCCGCAACCTCTTTGTGGACTGACTGTCATGATGGCAGGAAGCCAACGACGAGCTGAAGCAGAGGCGCATGTCAGACAGGCCCTGCCCAGCTAAACCCTAGGTCTCCGAAGATCACATGTCTTAGAGCAGCGCCTAGTACATAAATCTGTACATGCATGTGCATGTGAATGTGTGTGCGTGCGCTCGTGCGTTTGCACATGTGTATGCATGTCCATACATATTGTTCAACACACACATGTGCAACCCATATGTATTTCTGTATGAAATCTCTGCCTGCCTAGACCTTGGGCTTTGCGTCTTAGCGGCTCATCGGAAAGCTTGGGAAGAAGCACTTCAACGATCAACGCCCCGTGGTGTCAGGTCCGGGGCTCTACAGAAGAAGCTCGACAAGGCCGAGTCGTCCCTTGGCCAGTCTGCGGGGTTGGTTCAGGGCCCAGGGCAAGAGGGTTTAGGCTTCAGGGCTCAGGGGATGGACTCAAAAAACACAGTTTTTTTTTTGTGTCCTTGGCAACTCCCAGGCTTGATTCGAAGTTCAGCTGGATGCTTGCTAACTTAATCACAATCCTTCAAAAAAGCGGCTTGTCGCCTTCTCAGGGTCCTGGAAGAGACGGAGGCAGAGCTGCGGCAGTCGCAGGCCGTGAGCCCTGAGCGAAGAAAGTAGGCTTGAACTTCAAGTTTGGAACATGCGCATATCCTTGAAGATCTGCGCGCTTACCTGCAGTGGAAAGGTAGTCTCAGTGCGCAGAAAGCACCGTGTGTGGGCAGGAGGAAGCTCGGAAGTGGAAGAGCGAGCATGGCGGACTGCAGAAGGAACTGGTGGCATGGAGGGCAGCGCATGACAAGTGCGAAGCCGAGCTGCAGGAACAGAAAGCGTCGGCGCAGCACTTGCGGGAGAAGCTGGAAAGCCTGCAGAGCGGTCTTTCCGCCGCGGAGGCCGCAGCCAGGCGGGCGGAGGCAGCGGAGCAGCGCTTGCAGAAGGAGCTGCAAGCCAAGAAGGCCAAGCCGCGGTTGGTGAAGGAGGTCATGACGCACTTGAGCATCCAGCCAGATGGACGCCTTGAACGGGCGGAGCAAGAGGGGCTTCGCTTGGCGGCAGAGGTCACGGGCCTCACCGCTGAGCTCGAGGAAGCTCGCATGGAGGCGGCGAGCTTACAGGAGGCGGTGCGTGCTCGCGAGCGCGACGCATTCGAAAGGCAGCAGGAAGTGGAGGAACTGACGGCGCAGCTGCACGATGCCAAGGGCTCCCGTGAACTGGAGGCAAGGACGTCGCAGGAGGCCGTGCGCCAGTTGGAGAACAAGCTGCAGGCCCTCCAAGCAAAGCTCGAAGCCCAGCAGCGACAGGCTGCAGCATCCGCAGCCGAGCTGGAGCGGCTTGAGGCGACCCGCAACGAGGCGGAGAGCCAGGCACGAACTGCCCAGGAGGCCGAGGCTTCAGAAGTGCATGCGCTCCGCGCCGCGCTGGCAGAGGCTCAGGCTGCGCAGGAGGCCAGGGCGAGGACCCTGGTCAGCCAGTTTCAGCAGACCGAGTCTTGGGCCGCCGAAAACCAGGAGGAAGAGATTCAGAGGCTGAGGAAGGAGGTCCAGACCTGGAGAGACCGGGAGGCCGAGTTGCTGAAACAGCTGGACGAGCGTTTGTCCCAGAACAGCATTGCTTCTGAGGACAAGCAGTGCCAGACCGACCTCTTGGAGAAAGCGCTTTCTGTGAGGGATGCAACAGGTCAAGAGCCGAGCGCGCAGCTGGAGACACCCAAGATCGGTAAGAATGCCGTGCACCAGGCATCCACAAGCCCCTGGGCTGACCCAGACTCCACTGACGTAAGCGACATGGTTGCATATCCGCGAGTTCTGTCCATGGGTGGTGGCTGGTTGCAAGGCGTGAGCCTGAGCAGCTGGCGCGGGAAGTTAAGGCAACAATCCAAGCAGACGCAGACGAGCCGCTCGCCGTCTGCAAGCCCGCCAGGCAGCAAGACACCCAAGGAACGCAAGGAACGCACCCGCTCCCCCGACCGCGAGCGGCACATGCCCATCGAGCTGACCGCAGAGGGCCTCTCGCACCTCTCGCGCGGCCGTTCCCCGCAGCCCTTCCCGTCCGCGCACGCAGGGAATGCCGCGAAGGTGCTGCTCCCCCTCACTGCCAAGGCCAAGCGCAGCACCGTCTGCCGCTCCCCGCCCCGCCTTCGCGTGAACTCAAAGGAGGCCATGGAGGCCGCCGAAACCCGCCCAGCCCAGACAAGGCTATCCCGGTCGCCCGAGGCCCGTGAGGCCCAAGAGAGACCCGTGAACCGCATGCCCGCGGAAGTGGAAAGGCGCCGCAAGGCACCGGCTGCTCTACGGCACTGACGAAGCATAGCTTTTTTATCTTTTTTTATCAGCTGGTCACCGTTTTGGGTATCTAGATTTTCGGGACGTTCGGGATAAAACAAAGTTGTGTCGTGTGCGAGGCTCACGCAGCTTCGCCGCAGAAATCGGCAGCTGGGCACCCGCTTGGCGGGCCGGAGCTCGACTCTGTGGGACTGCAGCTTTTCTGCCGTGTCGTGGTCTTGCGGATTTCCAGAAAACCCAAAAAGCCTGCGAATTTTGGAGGGGTCCCTCATTTCCTTACCGGGAGTCCTTGTAGGGAACCCAAAGAATTCATACGGTACAGCGAGTTATCGCGGGAGACCTCTGCCGGATGCCAGTTTACTGCGTGAACCGATGCAGTTCTTGGGCAAGCCCCTTACATCCCTTGTGGCAGGACCCCTGGGTGCGGAGAGCCAGGTATCCTGGGAGACGACAGTCTTTGGATCAGGTGCCCAGCAGGGCTTCAGGGCCTTCCGGCACGTTTGGGGTTTAGGGTTCAGGTTTCGGGCTGAGGGTTTACCCTCCCGACTACTATTAGGGTATATAAGCCCCCTCTATTAAAGGGTAGCTGGGAGGTTTAGGTTGACCAGCGAGCGTTAGTCATCTCGGCTAGGCCTGCAGCGGTGGGGTTTTGTGAAATGTGTCGGAGGGCCGTAGCTTCCGGCGGGCCGCCGCGACTAACTTTCAATCCCCTCCAAGACTTCCGGAACCCCATTCCGCCGCAATCCCTAAGCCGCAGGGTTTACAAGGTTTAGGATTTAGGAGGGTTTAGGGTTTAGGGTTCAGGGGTTAGGGTTTAGGGCACCCTAAACCCTAAACTCTAAACCCTCGAGGCCCCTCAGGCCTACAGCGCAGCAGCGACGCCGAGTGTGGAAGTTCTACGAGCCTGGGCGAATCAAGAAAAGCTGTGGGCTTGGAAGTGTGCATGAGGTTCAAGTAGGGTTTGAAGGGGTTTTGCGTTCATGGGTTTGTGTGTGTATATTTTTTTATACATATATAAATATAGATAACTGGCGGTTACTAACATCTACACAAAGGTTGTTGTTTTCCAGCATTTGATGGGGTTTTGGCCTTTATGTAGGGTTTATGCAGAGTTTAGGTTTCTTCGAGCGTCTAGGCGTAATTGGTTAGAGTAGAAGAGTGTGTGGGGGCCGTGGTTTGTAGGGTTTAGGGCGTAGGGGCCCGTCCCAACCGCGAAGCAAGCATGCGAAGCTTCCGGAACGAACCGAAGCCACAGCGCCCTAAACCCAAAACCCTAAACCCTAAACCCCAATCCCCAAGGGCGTGGTTAGTGCTCGCAAAAAGGCATCAAAGCTAAGCTTAGCCCTCGAAAGCCGAGCGCACCTACCGTCACCACTGCTATGTGCCTCACCTGGCTGACCCATATGCTATTTTGGTAGAAGCTACGTTTCTCCTTCTTGGGCTTAAGGGGATCTCTCTCACTCAGGATCGGATTGTTGTTTTGGGCGAGGTTTATGGGCCTTCCGCATGATGTGATGACGATCCGGAGCCCCTCCAAGGCTCGCAAGCATCGATATGTCCCGAGCAGCTGTCCGGCAGAGTGCTGATGCGGCGAGGTAAGGGCGGGAACGAAGGATTTCTGAATATTTGAGACCCGCAAGAGATCCCCTTAGAACTTTTTCCACCATTCCTTGAGGAGGGGGAGAGGGCGTTTTTACTGACATCCATGTTTTGCCTTAGAGCCCCTCCCTTCCAGGGGTGCTCCACTCAGCCTAGCCACCCAGAAGGCTCATTACACCCCCCAAATCTGCACACCCCAAGCTCGCCCCCAAACCAGAACCACAACTCCAAGAACCTCCAACAGGCCTTAAACCCTCAACCCTCAACCCAAACACCCTAAATCTCACACTCCTCAACACTCAAGCCTGAAACTTTATAAGCCGTGCAGGACAAACACTTCCAGAGCTGCCAAGGACTTGTTAGAAAACCGAGGCTATACGGTTTGGTGCTTGAGGGTGTTTTCAGGGTTTTAAGGGGTTAAGGGCCGACGAATGTTTGCGATGCGAAAAGGGGGGGTTCAAAGTTGGGGTCCCTGTGTTTCAATCTGATGTCGCAGCCAAAGAGCCGTGCTCTTGGACGTGCGAACCCATAGACAGTTGTGAGAGTCGAAGCTCACCTGACGAGTCACTACTATTTGCTTAAGAACCCACCAAAAATGTTGTTCTGATAATTATCACTATTATTACTATTGTTATTATCATCATCATCATTATTATTATTATTATAACTTTTGGGATCTTTAAGCAAAGAGTAGGTCATGCCCGTCATCCTGAGGACACGGGCACCATGCGGCGGTCGGCCCCGGAAGCTGCGTCGAGAGACTCAACCACAACGGGCTGAGGGTTTAGGGTTTAGGGTTTAGGGTTTAGGGTTAGGGGTTGAGGGTTTAGGGTTTAGGGTTCTGAGGGTTTCCGGTTTCGGGTTTAGGGTTGTAGAGTTTAGGGTTTCCTAGCCACGAGTGCTGGGTTTGTGCTTCGCGCCTGTGTGTCAGCATACTTACCCGGCAGACTTCACAGGCCTCTGGATGTAAAAAGGGTTTGGAGTTTAGGGCTAAAACATCATAGCCCGGATGCAAAAAAGGGTTTAGGGTTTTAGCCCGGCTGGCCGCAAGAGACCTGGATGCAAAAGGGCTTAGGGTTTAGGGGTTTAGGGGTTTAGGGTTTAGGGTTTAGGGTTTAGATTAGGGTTGAGGGTTTAGGGTTTAGGATTTCAGGTTCAGGGTTTAGGGTGTTGGGTTCAGGGTTTGCAGGTTAGGGGTTTCGGGTTCAGGGTTTAGGGTTTCAGGGATCGGGGGTTTAGGTTCAGGGTGTAGGGTTTCGGGTTCAGCATTCAGGAAGCCGCGGGTTCAAAAGGGTTCACGGTTCAGGGCAAAAAACGAGGGAAAGCACGGCCTCTCCGAAATAAGACTTTCTCAATCTGAACGCCGCGGAAAGTTTTTGCCACGTATTCTGTCATTCTCTCGAGAGGTGTACCCCTGCTCTCCCCACACCAACTCCCAGGCTTCCAAAATTTCCGAAGGGCAACCTGTATTACCGTCACAGTTTTTAGGTTGCAATGACAAAGACAATGCGTTACAGAGACAAGCCCGTTGTGTGTAAACATGACAGGGCTAAATTCCCATTGCAGTCCGTATGGGCGCGTAGTTTCCGGGGCGAAGACGTGAAGACGTGATTTTCCGCGCGTAGACGCGACGGCGTCGACGGCATCAATGGCTTCAACAGCCACCGGCTTCAAAGGCTTAAATTTCGGATTTTTCACGTTAAAAACTCTAAAACCCTAAAACCCTAAATGGGGTTTTTAACGTGACAAACCCGTAAATTCAAGGGCTTCAACGGCAATGGCTCCACGGCGTCAGATCGGCGTCGCCGGCTTCACCGGCTTAATTGCAGATGGCGTGCGGACGTTGCTGTAAATTTCCTCCCAAATCGTCGAAGCCCACATCTTCCCCAACCGAAGCCCCCAAGTCCCTTTGAAAAGCCTTGAAGGTTTTAAGGTTCAGGGTGAGTCTGCGCGAGAGAGAGGGAGAGATGGGGTGGTCAGGCGAAGCAACGCCCTGCGCAGCCAACGGCGTCCTCCGGCCGCGGAGTGCGGCGCAGCTGCCGTCGGTGCGGCGGATGGCCAGGCTGCGCTGCCCCAAAGCCCGCTCGAAGCCCGCCCGAAGCCGACAGCCTAAGCTGCCTGCGACGGGGGGTTGTCCAGTATGGAAGCATTACGGAATAAAGTGAGAAAGGTCATGGGTCATGGTGGGTTTTGCCATCAAGCCCCTAAACCCTAAACCCTAAACCCTAAACCCTAAACCCTAAACCCTAAACCCTAAACCCTAAACCCTAAACCCTAAACCCCAAACCCTAAACCCTAAACCGTAAACCCTAAACCCTAAACCCTAAACCCTAAACCCTAAACCCTAAACCTGCGCCCCAAACAGGAGCTCCGGGAACTTGGGGACCTTCAGACCCTGCTCTGCAGCGACGCTGCAGCGCCCGGCATCTTGAGCCGCTTGGGGGGTTTCCGAAATCAGGGGCACCTTATTGGGGTTTAGGGTTTAGGGTTTGGGTTTAGGGTTTAGGGTTTGGGTTTAGGGTTTAGGGTTTAGGGTTTAGGGTTTAGGGTTTAGGGTTTAGGGTTTAGGGTTTAGGGTTTAGGGTTAACGCCCCTTTTTGAGCCTCCGGACTCCAGATGGGCGAAGCTCGGAGCTCGGAGTCTCTCTCAACCCTTCGGGGGCCCAGGTGATGCCGTTGTTCAGGGTTTAGGGTTTAGGGTTTAGGGTTTAGGGTTTAGGGTTTAGGGTTTAGGGTTTAGGGCTAGTTGCAAAAGGGTTTAGGGCTTAGGGTTTCCTTAGAAAGAAGAGTCCTTTTTCTCGCAGGGCGTTGGGTGTCCGACTTGGGCTCCGAGGGGTGTTTGTTTCGTTGGGTTTCTTGGGGGGATCCATGGCTTCAGGGTGCGAAAGGCCACTTAGTAACTTAGTACGGTTAAGGGTTTAGGGTTTAGGGTTTAGGGTTAAGGCAAGGATCGACCCCAAACTGTCAACACGGCAGTGGAGCTGGTCCTTGCCCGCTGCTCTTGCAGCGTGTGTCAAGTGCGTGTCATGCCTGCAAAACAAGGTGCGGGGGGCCCAGCGTCTTGCTTCGGGTTGCCTAAAGTGGGCTCCAAGTTACGCGGGACAACCGAGCGCTGAACTGAACCCCGTGCCCAAAACGGTCGAACAGCCTCGAAAGACCAAACCCTAAACCCTAAACCCTAAACCCTACTCCCGATGATGTTTTTGTTTACAGTGCAGTCGCGCTCAGTTGCTCAGACTCAGAGATAGCGCCGAGTGAACCCTAAACCTTAAACCCTAAACCCTAAGCCCTAAACACCTAAACCCTAAACCCCTAAACCCTAAACCCTAAAGCAGAAACTGAAACCCTAAACCCTAAACCCCTAAACCCTAAACCCTAAAGCAGAAACCCTAAACCCTAAACCCCTAAACCCTAAACCCTAAACCCTAAAGCAGAAACCCTAAACCCTAAAGCAGAAACCCCAAACCCTAAAGCAGAAACGCTAAACACTAAAGCAGAAACCCCAAACCCTAAACCCTAAACAACCCTTCAGCCTTCAGCCTCCACAAGGCCGCCGTCCGTCTGGGCCTGTTGTTGGGGTGCAAAGAAGGATCGCAGTAAGGTGGGAACCTTGAACGTGCCGAGCTCTATAAAGAAGCCTAGGCCTAAGCCCTCTCGCGCCCCCGGTCCTTCCGAATACCCTAAAACCCTAACATCCTAACAACCCTAAATGCCCTAAGAACCCTAAACAAACCCTAAAACCCTAAGAATCCCAACAACCCTAAAAGCCCTAAGAACCCCAAACAAAAACTCAACAAACTCCTGAACGTCGGCTCCGCGTGCCATCGATCTCGTCGACCGCCACAGGCAAACCACTGGCAAACCCTGGGTTCAGGTTTAGGGTTTAGGGTTGAGGGTTTACGGTTTAGGGTTTAGGGTTTTGTCGTCCTCTCACCCTACAGCAGGTCGCATGTGCGGGTTCTTCCAAGGAATGGTAGCGGTAGACTCTATTTTTGACCCTACATTCTAAATCCTAAGCCCTAACACATCCTTCTTTGGCCGAGGCCTGATGAGAACATGGCGCCTGGGGAGGCTTGAACTCCTGAACCCTAAAACCCTAAACCCTGAACCCTGAACCCAAGCCCTGAACTCCCGAACCCCTAAACTCCTGAGCTTTCGTTGGCCTACACCTTTGGTTTGTCGCGTTTGGAGCTGCGCTTGAGTGGGAATCTGGCGGATTGTCATAGTGAGAACCTTCCGACCGAGTCCTTGGCTGCCTTGTGCGAGTGCGAGAGCCGAAACTCTTGAGCTCCGAAACCCTAAGCCCTACGAACCCCCAACCCCAACCCCGAGTGAGAGTGCTGCTTCAAACCCCTACTTAGAGGTTCATGGGTAGTTTTAAGTAGGGTTATAAGTATGGTAATTCTACTTCTAACCCTCATTTAGGGTACGTTAAACCCTACTTATAACAACCCATGAACCTCCAAGTGAGTCTCGGAAGCCCCTCTTGCATGGAGGATGCAGCGGCCGCGTATGTGGCACAGCTCAAGAAGAGCCTGGGCCTGCAGGCAGTGAAATTTCAGGGCCGAGCTTCCGGACTCACCAGCGCTCTCTCTCCATCTCTCCCTCTCCCCTCTCTCCCCTCTCCCCCTCTCTCCCCCTCTCTCCCCCCCCTCCCCCTCTCTCCCCCTCTCTCCCCCTCTCTCTCCCTCTCTCTCCCACTCTCTCCCTCCTTCTCTCCCTCCTTCTCTCCCTCCTTCTCTCCCTCCTTCTCTCCCACCTTCTCTCCCACCTTCTCTCCCACCTGCTCTCCCTCCTGCTCTCCCTCCTTCTCTCCCTCCTTCTCTCCCTCCTTCTCTCCCTCCTTGTATCCTTGTCTCCTTGTCTCCTTGTCTCCTTGTCTCCTTGTCTCCTTGTCTCCTTGTCTCCTTGTCTCCTTGTCTCCTTGTCTCCTTGTCTCCTTGTCTCCTTGTCTCCTTGTCTCCTTGTCTCCTTGTCTCCTTGTCTCCTTGTCTCCTTGTCTCCTTGTCTGCTTGTCTCCTTGTCTCCTCATCTCTCCTTCTCTTTGTCTCTTGTATCTTTGTCTCTTGCTTTTTCTCTCTTTCTCTCTATTTATCTCTCTCTCTCTCTGTGTGTGTGTGTGTGTTTTTTTAAATCTCTCTCTCTATCTCTCTCTTTCACTGTTCTTTCTTTGTCTCTTTGTCTCTTCCTCTCTTTTTTGTTATCTCTTCCTCGCTTCGGCTTTCCTCTTTCCTCACTCTGTTGTCTTTCTTTATTTTGTCTATCTGTCATTCTTTCATTATTTCATTCCTTCTCTCTCTCTCTCTCTCTCTCTCTCTCTCCATTGAACCACTTCTGTCGGACACATTCATCATGTACCGGGGCACATATACGCATACACATACGTATACATATTCATATACATAAACATACAAAAATGTAGATACAGGCGCACTTTACATTTACATAGACATGTGCATACACACATGCACGAAGAAAGATAATACAAAAACGTGCATCGATCAATACAAGAATATATCGGCACGATGAATAGCGCGTTAATCACCGCGTCAGATCCAGTGCACCTGGCCGACGAAACCAAGCTGTGTTGCAAGGTTTTCTGCTCAACCGCCTGTGCCCGCAAGTGATGATGAACGTAGATGCGCTTGGCATCCTCAGTGTATCCTTTTGTTCAAAATCCACCTCGGAGCAGAATAACATTCTTCATATAGCATACCATTCGTCCCCCTAACGCCTCTGTTCTGCAGCAACCTCTACGCTATTTGCCATGCGTGAGCTGGCGCAATGAGTGCGGGCGGGGGTTGGATGAAATCCATCTCCGATGTAGCATGTTAGAATCTCGTGCTGCATCTTTTCATGCCGACATGCCTTCGCAAGGCGGCTGCACCGGAGAATGCGCCATCGGCCCAAGCATGTGTACGCGCGTGAGTATCCCGCAGATTTACTTCGGCTTCATGCTTCAGGATCTGGGGTTTAGGGTTTAGGGTTTAGGGTTTAGGGTTTAGGGTTTAGGGTGTGGGGTTTAGGGTTTAGGGTTTAGGATCAACCCGCCTTGCCAGCGACATAGAGCGACTCAATTCGGCACATGCCCTGAACTCTATGTGCCCCAAAGCCCCAAAGCCCCAAAGCCCCAAAGCCCCAAAGCCCCAAAGCCCCAAAGCCTTGAAGCCCAAAGTCCCCAAAAGCCATGTGTTCCCCAAACCCAGCAACTAAACCCTAAACCCTAAACCCCAAACCCCAAACCCCAAACCCCAAACCCTAAACCCTCCTAGACCCTGGAACCAAAACCCAAAACCCTAAACCCTAAACCCTAAACCCTAAACCCTAAACCCTAAACCCTATGAGTTCTTCCAAGGCCCAAAGGCGGCAGCAGCTCTCCGAGCGCAGGGGCGCATGCCGCGGGCCCGGGGGTAATGGCGACCACAGCACCGAGGGTTTAGGGTTTAGGGTTTAGGGTTTAGGGTTTAGGGTTTAGGGTTTAGGGTTTAGGGTTTAGACTTTCCTCTGCCCATCTTGGGCCGAGGCCCGCGCAAGAAGCAGCGACACGAGGCTATGGGGACATTGTACTTCGGATCAGTGTAAGGTGCTGTAAGATATCTCGGGGTTTGGACATGTTTCTTTGGCAGCTCAAGAAGAAAGGAGTGTTGGGCACATTCAGGTTCAAGGCAGCTGCTTTGTTCAGCAAGCAGAACAGAAACTTCCGTCTCTCGGTCTTTACTTATTGATGCTCTTCAGGAGCCACCGGGTTGCAAGAGTGGTGTGTCGGCGGGGGATGGGGGGGCAGGGGGGGGGGGTGGGGTGTCCTGCGCTCAACGCAAGAGCGCGCAACTCTTCGGCAGGAGCGCCGGCGCAGCCGAGTCCTCTGGGGTGAGCGGCCAAGATTTTGGGAGTTCGCAGGCTGAGACTGAGGGTGATATCTGTTGGCCTTTCACGCTTCCTGCTGCAAGATCCTCACAAGGGTGTGTTCAAGAGGACTCAGCCCCCAAAGGTGCAAAATGTTGGGCTTCTGGCGTCAGAGGGCAGGGAGTCGGTCCCTTCTACCTCGGGAGAGGGCCTGAAGGTGTGCACAGAAAGTAGGGGCTCCGGGATGATTTTTAGGGCTTCAGGGGGCTTAGGGCGCTTGGGGGCCAAGGCATCATTTTGGGGGATATCAAGTGCTGAACAGCCGTTGTCTCTGAGAAATGCTCCCCGTACCCTATGGGCATTCTCCTTGCCAACACACTCTAAGGTGAATACAGGTATGGCTATAGGGTCGGTCAAAGGTCCTAAGCCCCATATAAACCCTGAAACACCCCCGATCGCGACCGCCCCTCAGCGAGGTCGCGCCGCTCCGTTCGCTGCCGCGCTCGCGCAGCAGCGACCCGCGGGCGCCCCTCGGCCGTGCGCTGTCAGTGTGGTGTTTGGGGACGGGGGGCAGCCAGATACACCAAGTGTTTCGGGTTGAGGGTTTAGGGCTCAGGGACCCTGTCTGCCTCGGGCCCAAGCCTCCGAGGAAGTCTTCTTAAGACCCACACTTCCCACACTTCAGTTCTCTCCAGCTCCACTCGACCCAAGGCATATAGCAGCTGCGAGGCCTCTTGGGAGGGTGTGAGGCTACGCGAAGTTTCGTGGCTCCACGGCAGGTTGCACCCTGAGCCTGGAACGCTAGGAAGGCTAGGCCGCTGGGATTGTGTCCAGGGCGATGACAAGCCACGACTCCGATGAGGAGGAGGATGACGACGATGAGCCTACAACTCAAGGCCCACGACGTAGTCTGTGTTGCATCAGCGAAGATTGTGGCATTTCGGAACTTGCTGGCTATTGTGGACTCAAGGCTCACGCGAACCAGGGTTTTGGATCGCCCAGCTGCAGCAAAGCCCTAGACCCGAAATGTCCCCAAACCCTAACCTAAACCCTAAACCCTGAACCCTAAACCCTAAACCCCCAATCTTCGGGGCGCCAGGCTTCCAATGGAAGGCTGGAATCCGTGGCCTCGTCAAGCAGTTTGCCCAGGTCCCAGCAGTGGCGCTCAAGGGTTGCGGGTTCTCTGTCGGGCCTTTTTAGGGTTTAGGGTTAGGGTTTAGGGATGTGGGGTGTAAGTGCAAGGGCTCAGGGATGTCCGGGGCGCAGGGCAGCGTGCATGATGTTGGGCTGCGTGACTAGCTCAGGCACCCCAGGCATGAAACCAAGAGCTGCAACAACAGCGCCCCCCCCCCCCCCCCCCCCGCTCTTGAACCTATTTTCCGAAAACAGTTTTCGGCAGGAGGAGCGGGCTCGAATGGCCAGGCCGCGGCTTTTCCAGATTTTCTGTGTGGGGGGCCTCTTTGTTTGGGCTTGGGTCTGTTCCAGTCAGGGGTGTCTAGGGTTTGGGGCTTAGTAACTTAGTAATTGTCCTGTAGTTCAACTCGGGCCTTGAGTGTTGGCAGCCCGCACAGACACCCAAGCACCCCAGAGACACCAGAGCGCCAGCACACCCGAACCCCGCAACAAAAATCAGTTCCGCACATAGCCGAAAGCAACTGCCGGCGAGTCCTCCCGCGAAGCCACCGTCCCCAACCGGGACGAGGCACGTGCCCGGGCCGGCTGTGTTCGTCATTTTTGTGTGCACAGGTGCCTTTAGAACAAGTTCGGCTCGGAGTGCGTTCTGGAACGCCCAGAACTGTTCGCGTTTTGGACCCTGAAGCATCAAGTCCCGCTTCCAGATTTGTTTCTCAGCCTCCTCCGCGTGTTTGGTTCAGGGTTGCGGGATGCAGGGTTGACACTGAAGAAGACAGGTTTCAACTGTTTACATGCTGGGTCGTAGGGTCGTGTGCACCCCAGCTGCTGTTTTGTGGAATGCGTCCTTCTGAGCCGAACCGGATGCCGCGACCCGCTGCCCACCTCACAAGGACACCGGCAAGACGCAGCACCCTAAACCCAAGCAAACGGCATTACGTAGCGTCAGCCGCCACCAAACCCTCAACTATGGCGTCCTGCCATGAAACCCCAGCCCGGAGCGAGCTAGAACCTGACACTCTCCCCACGCCCCTAGCCCTGTGAACTCTAGCCCTGAAAACTCCAAGGGTCCTAAACCCATGGAAACCCAAACGGATCCAATGGAATTTTCCAACTCATTGCATCCTGCCCTGAACCCTAAACCCTATGCAAAAAGCCCTAAACCCTAAACCCTAAACCCTAAACCCCAAACCCTAAACCCTAAACCCTAAACCCTAAACCCTAAACCCTAAACGCTAAACCCTAAACCCTAAGCTGGGATGCTAGAAGACTTCTAGCCGCGAGCCGCGCGCCCGATGTGGCCGGGAGCCTCGTCCCGGCGAGCCCTGTTGCAAGCTCAGCCTTGCCAGAGGGGTTGAGGGTTTAGGGTGTAGGGTTTCGGGTTTAGGGTTTAGGGTTTCGGGTAGGGCCTGGGTTGGAGTTTGTTTGGCAAGCAAGTAGCCTCGAAAATGGACCATCTTGGAGGAGGACATATGCCTGGAAGGATTAAAGCGGAACCGACCACCTCCCTAAACCCCAATTTGCACCTGGCCTGCTGGGTGGTTCGTCCAGGCATGCGGGTGGGAATAAAGCCACCCTGATAGGGTTTTTCTGTCCAGCAGGCTGTCGACTGCCCCCCTTTATTTTTATTTATTTTATTTTATTTTGTGTGTGTGTGTGTGTTTTGTCACGGCCTTGCTTCCGATAACACGAAGGGGTACTGCAATCACAACTGCCTTGTAGCTGCCCATTGTGGTGATGCGAGGACCCGACGCCCCTCAGTTGAGCTGGAGCCTCTAGTCCCCCCCCCCCAGTTACCCTCAAGCCCTCAGGGCTACCCCCTCCCGCGCACGGAAAGAAAGCCGGAAAACGGATGTTAGCCTCGCCAGCACATCCCAAAGCCCGACGCCCACCCAGCAGTTGGGGCTCACTGACCCCAGGGTCCTACCCCACGGTGATGCACGGACCGCCGGCGCCTGATGCAGGACGCTTTGAAGAGGCTTTGTTTGCGTTCTGTTTTGGCCTGGGTGATCAGCCGCAAGCACTTTAATCCCCAAGCCCGAACTCCTGAATCTTGGGAGCACCGCCATTCCCAAGGCCCTCAAACGCACGCAGCCGGAACACAAACACTCTGACGACTTAGGCCAGTGCTGTTGCTGCTGCTGTACCCCTTGGAAGGTATGTCCAAGCAGTTCTCGGCAAATTCAACATCATGTCATGTCGTCGTAGACGAGCCTTCCGAATGTTCGTATATTATATTTATATTTATTTTTTTGTTAAGCCGTTTCTTTCCTGATTTATTTATTTATTCATTCGTCTGATGATTGCGATTACAATTATCGGTCTTAGTATCGTTAATGTGAGTACTACGATAAGTACTAATATCGTTCTCAGTATCACAGTCTTCGTCTTTTTCTTCTGTGGTTACCACTTGCAATAACTCCGATGATTACGACGAAAACTCCGGGGCCGATGGCGCTTCGTGGCGGAGCCCTGCTGGCCCTACTGACCCCGCTGTGCCGGGGGGCGACCAGTGACTCGACGGCATCCTTTAGCTTTGGATTCGGCAGTTTGAGGGTTTCAGGACGTTTAGGAAGTTTATGAAGCTTAGGGGGGTTTAGGCTTTAGGCTTTCGGGTTTCAGGTTGAGGGTTCGGGGTTTAGGGTTTGAAGGGGGTTTGCGGTTTAAGGGTTTTTTGGCCCTGTTTAGGGTTTCAGGGTTGCGGGAGTCGCGCTTTCAGCCCCAGCACCGGGGTTATGCAAAGGGTCTGGGCTTTCAGGGCATGGGTGTCGGCTACCTGGCAGTCAGAGTCCCAGCAATGCAAAAAGGGTATAGGGGTTCTGGCTCAGGAGCCCGGATGCCAAAAAGGGTTTGGGTTCAGGATCCGCCCTCCTCTCAGTTGGCTTGGGGATTTCGGGACTGAGAGTGGACGCTGGTGTCGGGTGCGGGCTTTCGCCACCCGCTCGCTGAGACCTAGAATGCCCAGGCTACCGAATCTTTCGACTTCATGCTAGGAACATAAGATTCCACTGACGCCGGCGGCGGAGTGGGTTGTGTTTTCGTGCTTTGTACAGGGACCGTGACGTCCTGTATCGGTATCCTTCATGCAGACCTGATGGGCCGAGGCTAAGATCTAGATCTATAGACCCTAAACCCGAAACCCTTAAAAACACCCTACGTCCCCGAATCCCTGGATTCTGGGTTTTTAGGGTTTTTTTAGGCTCTACTGCAGGGTTTGGGGCGATTCTCAGGTGCACCCGAGGGCCTGAATTGCTGCTTCGTCCCACGCGGGAAGCCGGCGGTTCTCGTCTGCGACGCGCCTCCCAGCAGCAGATGTTTTTCGGATGCTTTGGGCCCTGGACAGAGGGACCCTATGAGCCATATATCTGTGGCAACCTGTAAGCTCCCTGATGCCTAGGGTTTAGGGTTGTCCTGGCAGATTGGTATCCCTTTTCTGTAGAAGCATCGCGACGTGAAGTAGTCTTGGGCTAGGCAGAACGTTTGGGCCTTGCGTTGCTCCCGCCATGTCAAACCTGTCATCGACAGCTCCCTCGTCGAAGGTTTTGTCAACCATTGCCTTCATCACAGAAAGATTTTCCACAATTTGCCACCCAGAGAGCCCAATACCCTGAATTTAAGGAATAGAAGTAGCTCAAGGTCTGACAAAGACGAAACCAAGACAAGCTTGCCCCACTCTGACCTTCTTTCATGCTTTTCGGACAGTTTCAGGTGCAGTTTTGCAGGGTTTTACTATCATTGGGGTCAGACGCTCAATAGCGCAGACAGCTTTGTCCCCCCAGCCGCAGCCCAGGACCCGGGGCGAGGTCATCTCCGATGTTCCCTTTGCCTTCTACGGCGACGTGCCTGTGGAGGACTCCTCCAACGCATCCCTGAAATCATCAGAGCCTGAACCATGCCGAAACCCTGAAGCCCAGAGAGCAGCCAGAGGCCCCTGCAGAAACCCATATAGGCCCTAAACCCTAAACCCTAAACCCTAAACCCTGTAACCCTATAACCCTATAACCCTATAACCCTATAACCCTATAACCCTATAACCCTATAACCCTATAACCCTATAACCCTATAACCCTACAACCCTATAACCCTATAACCCTATAACCCTATAACCCTATAACCCTATAACCCTATAACCCTATAACGCTATAACCCTATAACCCTATAACCCTATAACCCTATAACCCTATAACCCTATAACCCTATAACCCTATAACCCTATAACCCTATAACCCTATAACCCTATAACCCTATAACCCTATAACCCTATAACCCTACAACCCTAGAACCCTAAACCCTAAACCCTTAGATGGCTGGTCCAGGAAAGAATCTGCGGGGCGGACGTGGCGCACCCCAAGACCTGCGGGGTGGACGTGCGCAAGCATCTCCTTGCGAAGCCTGCCCGCGAAGGTTTAGGGTTTAGGGTCTATAGGGTTTAGGGTTTAGGGAAGGATCCTTGGCCATGGGGTTGCAGGGGGCTCAAAAAGGTTGGAGCACCCCCAAAGAGAAGCTCCCCAGGTGCCGCGGGCAGGAGGCATGCGAGGTGGACTGGTCGTTGCATCTCAGCATCCGAACAGGGGAAGGAACTGTCTTTGTGGTGCTTTGCTGTAACTTTAGATCCTTAGCCTTTTTGGGTTTATTGGGTTTCTTAAGAAGCCAGCTAAAAATCTAATTTTTAGCTACCCCCCCTAAGTGCAGCCAAGAACTGGAGTCTTGGGGGAGGTTCTCGGGATGCACAAAAGGTGTCAAAATTCGTCGGGTGTCAGGGAAGGTTGAGTTGGCCTTCTTTCTTTTTATAATGACGATTATTTTCTAATATTATTGTTCTGAGTGTAATATATATATATATAATTATAATTATCATTATAATTATAAATATAAATATAAATATAAATATAAATACAAATATAAATATAAATATAAATAAATATAGATAAACAAACAAATAAATAAATAAATAAATAAACATATATATATATATATAGCTATCATTACTATTATTATTATTATGATGATTATTATTATTATTTATTGTTATTATGTATTATGTATTATGTATTATTATTTTGTTATTATTGTTATTATTGTTTTTGATTATTCTTGTTGGGGGAGGGGGGGCGTATGTAAATTCATGTACACATATGTCTGGGGGTTGCGATCACAAGGTCCTGCCCAGCCCAAACTCTGCGTGAGCAGGCACTTGTAAACCCCTAATGTCGAATTCCAAGCCCGAAACCAGCAAGTCGGTGCTAGGTTCGCGGCGGAGTGCCCGAGCAACCAAGAGCTTGTGATGCGTTGGACCTGCGAAGTGGCGCGACTGCCTGCAATCCGGGGGGCGAGGGTTCGGTGGTTTTCTGCCAGCTGGGGTTCAGCTGCACTTGATTGCGGATGGGTCCAAGTCTCTAGCTTTGAAGTTCTTTTATCCGGATTCTAGGTTTCTGAAGCCCCTCCACAGCCGCCCAAGTCGTTGCAGGCAGATGCCTCCAGCAGTTCTAAGGCCCGCAAGGAGCCTTCGCTCAGGGCTTCCGGGGGGGGGGGTTTGAGGCTAGGCCTTGCGGGAATGTTTAGGGCTAGCGTGAAGCTGGGCACAGCCGCTCTGCAAGAAGCCCAAAGGCTTGAGCCTACTTCTCAAGCGGGAGTTCCTCAGAGTCAGAGCACTCCAGGGCTGCATTCTCTGCATGCCAGAGCGCATCCAGGTCACTGAGAGAGCAGACAGGGGTTGTTCGTTGTTTGCTTAAACCCTAAACCCTAAACCCTAAACCCTCAACCCTAAACCCTCAACCCTAAACCCGGAGACCCTAAACCCTGAACCCTAACCCTTGAGGGGTCAGCTAGGCGGGTGGCAAAAAAGCCCTAAACCCTAAACCATCCTAAGAACGAAAAGCCTACTCAGACCAAAAATCTAAACTCCCCTGCAAGCGGTAAACCCAACACAGCTTCGGGCAAGAGACCTCAATCCTAGCCCTCCTCACCCTCCTAGCCCTCCTAACCCTCCTCGGCCTCCCCTCCTCACCCTGCTAGCCCTCTTCGCCCTCCTAGCCCTGCTCACTCCCCTAACTCTCCTAACCCGCCTTACCCTCCTAACATCTCCTAACCCTCCCAACCTACAAATAAACCGCCCACGCCCAGGAGCCCAGCCGGGGAATCTCGGGACCGCTCTTTGCCCGGGGCGGCATCCTTGCGGACTCCCAAGGCCAACGGGCGGCTCGGCTGCCTAAACCCTAAACCCTAAACCCTAAAGCCTAAACCCTAAAGCCTAAAGCCTAAACCCTAAACCCTAAACCCTAGATACCCTTAACCCCCTTAGTAGTAGAGCAGGCAACCTTTCATCTTTTTGCAGTGGTATACTCCCCCTATAATCGAGGGTTTCGGGCATATCGGGTGTTCCCAAAATAGGGGCAGCCCTCTTCTACCCCTAAATAGAATAGAATCCCCTCAAAGGGACCCCCAAAAAGGGTCCCCCCCCCCCCGCCCCCCTTTTTTCTCGGAAACCCCGAGTTGACGGTTTAAAAGCATGTGGGTTGTAGTGGGTTCTGCGCTGCTGGAGCTTGGGGGGGGCAGAGCTCCACGAGCGCTGCCTACCTGGCTACCGACGGCAGCTGACGAACTCGAGTCTGCGAGCGAGAGAGAGAGGGAGAGAGAGGGAGGGAGCGAGAGGGAGGGAGAGAGAGCGAGGGAGAGAGAGGGAGGGAGAGGGAGGTTTCCGAGTATACAGCGGTGTACCCCAAAGCGGGGGGGGGTGAGAACTGCAGCGGGGGGGGAGGGCGGGGGGTGTCTCCCCCTCATGCGTCATGAAAGAGAGAGAGAGAGAGAGTATGTTTGGATGTGCCGTGATTATAGGTTCAGAGTTCGGCTGCGCATGGCCTGAGGGGGCCTCGAGTTGAAGTTTTTTTTCTTGGGATCTGATGGGTGCGGGACTTCTGGGCACCGACACGGCGGTAGATGATCTAGCTTCGGTTGCAACAACGACCGGACACATACGTAGTCAGCAGTGGTGAGTGCCATTCCTGTTGCCTGTTGCTGTTCGGTTGTTCAGCCCTTGTAGCAAGGTTAGGACCATTCTTGTGTTTGAATCCCTCGCCGCTCGCAATCACCGATTGTGTGACAGTGCTTGCTGAAAGGACACAACATCAGAAGCCCTAAGCCCTAAGCCCTAAACCCTAAACCCTAAACCTCAAGCCCTAAACCCTAAACCCTAAACCCTCAACCCCAAACCCTGCTTTGCGGAACCTTTGAGGTACGTCTTCAAGGTGTGAACTGGCCGGGCGCGCACATCAACCATGTGCCTTCTGGTCTCGACCGAGCGTGCCTCGTCACCAGTCCTGAGTCGTCGGAGGACATGGGTTTAGGGTTTCGGGATTTAGGGTTTAGGCATGGGGGTTCACGGGGGCCCCCCAATATAGATCCCCAAATAGTAGGATCCCCTTATAAGGTACCACTACTTTGGGAAACCCCGAACAGATGTTCTGGGGTCTGAGTCTCGGCCGACTGCTTTGGCACGCAGTGTGTCAAGTCTCCATCGTTTGCGTGCCAACACATCGCGTCAAGCCATCGCTGGAAGAGATTTCAGAAGTGCACAGATAGCAGCCGTGTGGGTGCAATGTTACACACTCTTCGCGCGTCTGCACTCCGCAAAATGAAGTTTGCCCTATTCAAAGGGCCCTCTTGTTGCGTATCTTTGAAGTCAGATTTCGGGTATCCAGGAAACCAGCAAGAGAGCGACTCAGGGAGTGCCATGTAGGCTTCTGACACTGGCCTGCCCCAGGGCTCGGCAGACCTCTCTCCAGCCTTCATCGCGCGTGCCAAGCCCCAAGGTTCCTCCTGCAGCATCGAGGACACCTCAACTAAGCCTTCTAAAGGAATCCACGTCCATCTGCCAGCCCATCTACACAGAAACCCCCAATACACTGCGTTTCCACAAAAAGTCGCGTCTCAAGCTTCTCCTCGCTTCCAGGCCCGTGGCCTCCATTGCCTCACGAATCCGCGCTCTAGGCCAGGTCCCGCTTCCATATATACATGTATATGTATGTATGTATGTATATATATATGTATATGTATTTAGTTACATAAAGCTGTATATAGTGATATATATATATATATATATGAATAGAAATTGTACACACACACACACACACACATATATATATATATATATATATATATAGTATGCAACTTGAAACAGAGAGACACACATACCTACATGCATGCAAGCATGCATACATACATACATACATACATACATACATACATAAACAAATAAATACACCAACAAAAAATAAAGACGTATATATGTATATGTATGTATGTATGTATGTATGTATGTATGTCTGTATGTATGTCTGTCTGTATGTATGTATGTATGTATGTATGTCTGTCTGTATGTATGTATGTATGTATGTATGTATTTTTCATGCGTGTATGTGTCTCAGAATGTTCGTCCATCATGTATCGCCATGTAGCTTGGATGGGCGCATCGTTGCTAGGAGTTTCTTTCCTGAGCCAAGTGGGCCAAGCTGGTCACTGCAGCTCGCTGCAGCTGTTTCGGCAATTCCCTCTTGGCACCCCCGTCTCCAGCCTCCGCCTCCACTTCCACTGATGGCGCGCTCCTCGACTGTCCTTGCCGGTGGCCTCCTGGGCGCCGCCTCCCTGGGAGGCCTGGCCTTCGTTGCGCCAGGGCAGAGCCGACCCCAGCTTGAGGTGAAGGCAGCCCAGGCAGCTCAGGCCCCGGGCTTCCTGGCATCTTCCAGTGCGACTAGCAGCGCGGCACAGGGCGTGACGGGCGCCTTGGCTGTGGCGGGCCTGAGCGTGGCCGCCGTGCGAGGTGCATCGGCCGCTTCCCGTCAGAAGGGCGTCAAGCCTCGCGCGGCCAAGAGCGTGGTTGCGTGCAGGTCTCTGGCCAAGCTGAAGATTGATGAGGTGGACTTGAAGGACAAGCGCGTTTTCATCCGCGTGGACTTCAATGTGCCCCAGGACAAGAAGGACCCGAACCTTGGTTGTTTTCAATTGGCAGGTTCATTTTGCAGGTTGGCGTTCTTGCTGCTCTTCAGAGGCCTCAGCCGGCTTCCTTCGGCTGAGTGCAGCCCTGGGGAACGTCCATGAGTGCGGTCGGGGGCAGTCGGGGGCGATTCACCAGATGCCGCCAAGGAACATTATCACCAACACGGCACGAATCGATGCGGCCCTGCCCACCATCAAGTACGCCCTCGACAACGGCGCGAAGTCCGTGGTGCTCTGCTCCCACTTGGGCCGCCCCAACGGGCAGAAGGACGAGAAGTTCTCCATGAAGCCAGTGGCAAAGGTGGTGGAGGAGATCCGCCTTCAACCCCAAACTCCCCAAACTGTACGACCCGGAACAGATCGTTGCAAAGGGTCTAGGGTTTGCAAGGGGTCCAGGGTTTGGGGTTAAACCTTGATGCAACCCTTGCTAAAGGCAGGAAGGCCCTGCTTTCAGGTGTTGCCGGCAGCCTCCTCAGCCCGTGCTGAAAAAAGGGGCTTAACCCTCTGAATCCCTTTGCGCCAAGGGCCTTGCGAGAGAGCACGGGGGCCTGGACTGGGGGAGGAGGCTCCTTTTTGTGGGAAGGGATCCTCAAAAAGGTTTAAGGTATATTCCGTCCTCTTTACCCTGGCCCAGTGGAGGAGAAGCTGGGAAGGCCCGTGAAGCTGATGGACGACGTGGTCGGCGAGGATGTGGAAGCTGCGTGCGCCGACCCAGAGCCCGGCACCGTGATTCTCCTGGAGAACTCCCGCTACTATGTTGAGGAGGCGCAGCACTGAACTTCACGAACTTCAGATCCCCCCCTGAAGCCCAGTAGGCCGTTGTAGACACCTAAAGCGCCATCTAAACCCTTCAAGCGCTCCAAAAGCCCTGAGGCTCTAAGCCCCCAAAGCCCCCCCACCACAACACGCGCCCAAAACAGGAAGGCAAGGGCAAGGACGCCGACGGCAACAAGGTGTCGGCCGAGCCTGATGCGGTGAAGAAGTTCCGCGCCTCCCTGGCCAAGTTGGCGGACATCTATTGCGCCTTGGCTTTCGAGAGCCGGAAGTGTTTGAAGTGTGTTGGGGTTGAGACTGCGTCATCTGTGCGTTATGTGTGCCGGCTCATTCTGTTCTTGTCCGTGCCTTGCTCCTGTCCTACCCTAAACCCTAAACCCTAAATCCTAAACCCTAAACCCTAAACCCTTAAAGAAAAAAAGCCGGTTGGCAAAAAAAACCTAAACCCCTAGACCCTAAACCCTCAACCCCCCCAACCCCCCCAAAAGGGAGCAATGCAGGTTCGGATGCCTTCGGCACGGCCCACCGTGCCCACAGCTCCATGGTCGGCGAGGGCTACCCGGTGACTTCGGGATACTTGGGAGTACTTTTTTTTCTCTTGTAGTTTAGGGGGTTTAGGTCTTTGTTTTTTCTTATAATCTAGTCTTTTGGGTACTAAATGTGCTAAGAAGCAGCTGAAAGTGTGATCTTTGCTAAAGATCCACAGTGTAGGTGAAATGCTCCGGCTTCCTCCTGGCCAAGGAGCTCGACTACTTTGCGAAGGCCGGAGCCCAGAACCCTAACGTAGAGGGGTCGGAATAATTCCTAGTAGTATTCCCTTAAAGGTCCCTGCAGCATTATACCCCCCCTGCCCCCCAAAAACAAAGTCCTCCCCCCTATGTTGCTGCCTAGTGCCCGGCAAGAAGCTACAAGAAGGGAGAAGTGCGCCATGTGGGGGTTTCCGAAATTGGGGGGGGGGGGGGACCTTATTGGGGTCCATATTATAGGGGAATCCTACGATTTGGGAGATCTGTATTGGGGGCCCTTAATTTTCGTAAAGCCTCATATCCACCCTAAACCCAAAACCCTAAACCCTAAACCCTAAACCCTAAAGTCTTTGCTGAGGGCTCGCTACCAACACTTGAGAGCCCGAAGCCGTCCGAGCTTCGCGAGCGACCTGAGAGCACTGAACGTGCAGCCCAGGTAAAGCTGGGGCTACTGGACGCTCCAAGGCAAGGTAAGGTCCACACTGGCCGTCAAGGCGGTCGAGCCTTTGAGTGTCAAAGGTAAAGACCCTAAACCCAAGACCTTTTGCTGGTGCAACCTGGCCCCCCCCCCAAGGAGCGTTGCTGGTGCTACCTGCCCCCCCTCCAAGGACCGTTGCTCGTGCAACCCGGGCCCCCGCCAAGGACTTGCTGGTGCAACCCGGGCCCCCCTCAAGAACCGGGCTCACACCGCCCTCTGAGCCTTTTTCAAACCATTTCTTGGCTTGCTTCTCCCCGACCAGACCATTTTTGAGCCGTTTTGGGCTCCTCTGAGACCATGCCTGAGCCTTTTCTGGGCTCCTCCCGAACCATTTCTGGGTTTTTTGGGCTCCTCCCGGACCATTTCTGAGTTTTTTGGGCTTCTCCCACACCATTTCTGCGCGTTTTTGGCATCCCCCCAGACAATTTCTCAGCCTTTTGGGGGCATTTTTGAGCCTTTTTGGTGCTTCTTTGAGCTTCTTTTAGGCTATTTTCCGAGCCTTTCTATGCTTCTCCCAGGCCAGATTTTTGAACTTTTTGGGCTCACCATTTCTTTTTGTGTTCACAACAAAGCTTCTCCAAGCCCCCCAATGAGGGGGACCCCAGGATTGGCCTGGACCCGCAATGAAAATGCGAATCTTTAGTACTGAAATCGATGGTTCTGGGAGCTTCCGGAAGGTCTAGCAGGCCCTCACAAAGGCTTGCGGTGACCTCCAGAAGCGTGGGAGGCGAGAGTCGCATCGGGACGCTGGCCCAATCGAGGGGCAGCGCTACCCCTTCGGAAACCCAAACCAATCAGCCACCCCCACGACCTTTTCACAGCCGAGTCTCCACGACCTTTTCACAGCCTAGTCTTGGTCAAAGGAGAGTCGTATCGGGACGCTGGCCCGATCGATGGGCAGCGCTACCCCTTCGGAAACCCAAACCAATCAGCCACCCGCACGGCCTTTTCGCAGCCTAGTCTTGGTCAAAGGAGAGTCGTATCGGGACGCTGGCCCGATCGATGGGCAGCTACCCCTTCGAAAACCCAAACCAGCCACCCCCACGACCTTTTCACAGCCTAGTCTTGGTCAAAGGAGAGTCGTATCGGGACGCTGGCCCGATCGATGGTCAAAGGAGAGTCGTGTCGGGACGCTGGCCCGATCGATGGGCAGCGCTACCCCTTCGGAAACCCAAACCAATCAGCCACCCCCACGACCTTTTCACAGCCTAGTTTTGGTCAAAGGAGAGTCGTATCGGGACGCTGGCCCGATCGAGGGGCAGCGCTACCCCTTCGGTAACCCAAACCAATCAGCCACCCCCACACCTTTTCACAGCCTAGTCTTGGTCAAGGGAGAGTCGTCTTGGTCCAGGGAGAATCGTATCGGGACGCTGGCCCGGTCGAGGGGCAGCGCTACCTTTTCGGTAACCCAAACTGCTTTGTGTCGATGGTTACCGTGCTGGCAAACGAGGGTCACAGACAAGGGATGCCAAACGCCCTCAAAGAAGCACGTCGGGACGCTGGCCCGGTCGGGGCAAGGGTACCCCTACAGTAACCCAAACCAATCTGTGAGACACATGCCAGACGCCTTCCGTGAAGGCAGATGAGGGATGCCGACTTTGATGATGAAGGGCTATCCCCCGACCTTTCGCAGCCTAAGGGCAGCGTTTTCCACAACTTCACCTCTTTGCAGCCCTGCCCCCGCGAGGCTCAGATCGGGACGGTGCAGAAACAGCGTGCGCAGGGACACAGCATGCCCCCGCTGGAAAAAGCAAAAACGAGACTTTAGGAACTAAACCCTAAAATAGATATGCCGGGTGGCTTGGGGTGGGCTTACCGCCATGCGATGTTGCGAGCGACCCGGGCAGAGGGGCCGGTTATAAAAAAATAAGGTGAGGCCCCGGAGCCTAGCGAGCAACCCAGAACGTAGCACACCCTAAACCCTAAACCCTAAACCCTAAACACTCCCTCTTTGGCTCAGGTGGTGGACTCCCCCACCAGGCCGGTGTGTGGCATCCTCGGTGGGGCCAAGGTCGCGGACAAGATCCAGCTCATCATGAACCTCCTTGACAAGGTCGCCAGGCATTTCATCTACATATATATATATATAATCTGAAATATATATATATATATATATATATATATATATCTGTATCTCTCTCTCTCTATATATATATAGATACATAGGACCCTTTTTGGAACATTTTTTTGCATATTCGCTAGGCATTTCATATATAGAGCCCTTTTTGGGACATGCTTTTTCTATGTTTTCTCTCTCCCTTGTTCGGCTTAAGAGGATCATGCTTCAGGAATATTGCCTCAAGGATGCTTTTCAGAGGGCCATCCGAGGTCGACATCATGATCATCGGAGGAGGCATGGCCTTCACCTTCATCAAGGAAGCGGGGGTGGACATCGGGGACTCCCTCTACGACGCGGAGGGCGCCAAGCTGGTCCCCGACATCAAGAAGAAGGCCGAGGAGAAGGGCGTGGAGCTCATCCTGCCGCTTTCTGCAGGGAAGGAGGCACCCTATATCCCCCTACACATACCCTTGAAGGGATTATATATGTGGTACCTCATTCCCTCATTCCCTACGAAGTAAGGCCCGTGGACTTCGTGTGCTCCTCCAAGTTCGGGGAGGATGGTGAGATCAAGGAGGGTGACATGAGCACGGGCGTCCCGGACGGCTTCCTGGGCCTTGACATTGGCCCAAAGTCCATCGAGATGAACGACGAGGCTTTGGGAAATCTGGGGGAGCCGTCTCTTGAACCCTGAACCTATGTTTGGGTCATAGCAACACGGGGTACTCATCGCTGCAGGGACCCTATGATCTAGTTGCCTCCGAGTTGATGGCGTTGACGAGACTGAGACTCCCTAAGGCCTAAACCCTCAACCCGAATCGAAGAGACCCTTAATTAGAAGGGACCCCAGGGGTTACTTGCGGTGATTTAGGGGCTATAGGGACTAGTATGAGTTCAATGTCCGAAGCGCCAGGCAGCCTGTCATGGTACACTTGGCTTGTCTTTCACGCGGCACCTGCTCAAAACGCCAGGCCATCAAGAAGTCCAAGACCATTGTCTGGAACGGCCCCATGGGCGTGTTCGAGATGAAGGCCTCTTTGCTTCAGGTTGTCCGTGGCATGTCTCGTTGCCTTGTTCTAGCCGCCTTCAGACCATCAAGTCTCTATGCCTCTAACCCTAAACCCTAAACCCTAAACCCTAAACCCTATAAACCCTAAACCCTAAACCCTCTCTTTGCAGGCCTTCGAGAAGGGTACCAAGCAGATGATGGAGACCATCGTATCGGTCACGAAGGACGGCGCCGTCTCCGTGATCGGCGGCGGCGACACCGCCACCGCCTGCAAGGTGTATGACACCGTGGACAAGGTCTCCCACTGCAGCACCGGCGGCGGTGCGTCCCTGGAACTGCTGGAGGGCGACCAGGACGAACTAGGATGCCCAGACGTCAGACGTGCCCCCCTTTTTCTTCCCTTTTTTTGGAAGGGGCCGATGTCATGTCCCAAAACCAAACCAAAGGCTTTTCAGGTGCAACCCCTACACAGGTCTCCAATACCCTTGATTCCTCCCTCTAGACCTGATGTAAGGCGCAGGTAAGGCTACCCACCCAGTAAGTCCCTGGAAAGTCCCTTAAAAGGGGGGTTCCCCGTGCTGGCTGGTTTGCTGGGAACCTAGGCAAGCTCCTGCCTGGCGTGGCCGCGCTTGATGATGCCTAGAGGTCTAGGGCAGGTAGAGCATGGGTCGCTTCTGAATTCTGGTAGCGGAGCCCATGTGTGTCTTTGGAGTCTTCTGTCTTATAGTCTCTCAGAGGCGACCCGCAGGGCAGTTCTCCCAATCCCTTCCCATTAAGTGGATTTAAACTTTTGACGCCATGTTGTGTAGTTCTCCGGCCACGCATAACTCCAGACAGGGCTCGAGCCTCAGGCTTGCAGCTGTGACAGCGACGGCAAAAAGATGCCCAGCTTCACTCCCCAAAGAGCCCTCTATACCCCTTAAAGAAGGAATTTGCCTTAAACCATAAAAAGGATCCCTACAAAGCTTGAGGTATATTCCTTAATTAAGGGGATTGGGCTCTCTGGGTTTCTGTGTTCGTGAAAGGATGGAAGGATGTTAGTTCCAGGAGGTTGAGGAATCTGTGTCCTGTCAAAGACATCAGAGAAACATGGCCCACGGCAGGTTATGTGAAGGCGTTGGCACGCTCTCTGGTAGAAATAGCCCTGCGGGGGTTTTCAGGAGCAGGGACTAAGGGGACAATTGCAGTTTCCTTCGAAATGGAACGGTGTGGGGGCTTCCGACAGTAGGGGATGCCCCTTATATACATCAGTCCTATTAGAGCAACCATCAATCGGGTACCCCTATTTTCGGAAACCCTCATGTCGAGAACCCGGGGTGGTTACCCAAAAAAAACCCCCGAGAATCGGGTGAGGTGAGCCCTAAGCCTGGCTTTAGGAAACGATTAGGTTTCTGACAGGTTTTGAAGGAACGGTGTACAGTCCACAGCCAGCTAGCAGGCCTAAACCCTACACTTGCCCCATAAGTGGCAGGCTTCAATGTGGTGCGCCTCACCTGGGACGCCCGCTGGGCTGCAGTTTGGAGCACGTTTGTATTTGGGACGCTGCGTTGCGGATTGTTTTTTTGGGCGGACCGCCTTCTTAAAGGGGTGGCCATGAGGTGAACACCGTGCTCAGCAACCCGAGGGTGAGCAGCCGGAGGGTGTCCGCGAACCCGCAGCAGCTGAACTGCAAAGGGGGAACTTGTTGGAGGGGGGGAGGTGTAGGGGGGGGGGTATGGGGGGTATAGGGCGGGTAGCACCCCCCCCATGGTAATCCCCCTGTGGTTCGTGGTGGGTTTTGGGTTCCCCCCCTGTGTGGTTCATGGTCTGTGGTTCATGGGTTTAGGGTTTAGGGTTAGGCTGTCGAGTTCAAGATTTTCACTATGACCTTCTTGGTCCATTGGTTTACGGTTAGAGTTTACGGTTCAAGGTTTGGGGTAATGGTAGGTTTATGGTTTCGCCTCTCCCCCTGTGGTTCGTGCTGGGTTTGCGGTGCAGGTATAAAGCGGTTGAGATTTCGAGTTTACCCTTCTCCCGCCCTGTGGTTCATTGGCGGGATTCGGTTTTCGGGCTTCGGGTTCAGGGTTCAGGTTTGGGTTTAGGTTGAGGGTTTCTCTCTCCCCGTCTGTGGTCCATGGTGTTTTTAGGTTAACGGGCAGGGTTTGCGGGGGGATACCATTGGGGCGGGGGGGCGGGGGTCGATTAGCGCATATAAGGGGGGCATATGGGGGTGGAGGGGGCTTGCAGCTTCCGGGAACCTTGCCTGCTTTTGCCTGTGGGTTACGGGCGGCTAACGGGAACATGTGGGCTTCGTTGCGATGAAACTTCGCTGCTGCTCTGTTCGCCTATGGAGTGTCTACAGTGTAAGAGGGCCCACGACTCGACAAGGCTGTGCGTCGAAGCGCCAGTCTCCCAGAAATTATAGGGTTCTGAAGGGAGGGGGGTTCCTGGGGGGTAGGTACTTAGGGAACCTTCAGTAGGATTCCCTTGTAATAAGGAGGACCACAATAAGGTACCCCTAATTATCCTAATTTCGGAAACCTCAGGGTCTCGCGGAATCCTGGCCGGAAGTTGCGACACTGGATTGGGGGGGGGGGGAGAGGCAGGCGAGGCTGTCGCTTTTTCATTTTGCTGTTTATTCCGTTCATCTTTCACTTTAGGGAGTCGTAGGGAGTTTTTAGGGAACCTTAGATTACATACCCCCTTGAACCCCCCTCCTTTCAAGAAACCCGCAACCCAGGCTTGTGGGGAAGCGCGCGCTCGACGTCATGGATTCCGTGATCGAGGTGCCGCCGATTAGAACCCCAAATACGCCGCCCAGAAAGAGGGTCTTGTGGACTTTCTGGGCCTTGGCAAGACCACCTCCGGCTCGAACCTCTCGCTTAGAGGAAGTCCTTTGCCGACAAGCACCAGTTCTGATGCCAAACCCTGAACCCTATAAACCCGAAACCCTAAACCCTAATTAATCACCCAGAGACAGGATCCAACCGAAGCCTTGCCGGCCTTGTGCGAGTGTGAGAGTCGAAACCCTCATTAAACCCCCTAAACCCCCTAAACCCCCTAAACCCCCTAAACCCCCTAAACCCCCTAAACCCCCTAAACCCCCTAAACCCCCTAAACCCCTAAACCCCCTAAACCCCCTAAACCCCAGAACCCGAGGCGCTGGGGGATGCGGGTGTGGCCGTTTGGCTGGACAACCACATGCTGGACACGGACTGGTGCTGCACCGAAACGGACTCTAGGAAGGCCCTTTTGGGATCTTTTCGATTTTTCCTTTCTCGGGTTTAAGAAGATCATATGTCGGATAGGTAGGCCCATGGGGTATTTTTGATTTTGCCTTATTGGGGTTTAAGAGGATCATGTTTTGGAATATACTTTTCAGAGGGTTTCCAAGGGTCATCCTAGGACTGCAATGGTTTCTGGTTCAATCCCAACCACAGCATGACGAACTGGATCGAAGCTTGGCGGATTGTGGCCAGGCGCAGCCGGCAGTTCAAGGCGGTTCTGGGCGCGGGCTTGAAGAACGAGCCTCACCCCGTGCAAACTGGGAAGAGCTGGGGCACCGGATCCTTCTGCAACGCGAGCTTCTTCCAGCCGGCTGCGGGGAATGCCCTCGTGGGGGCCCAGTGGGCCTCTGGCCCAAGGCAGGGCAACATGAAAAGCTGCTGAAACCCCTAAAGTTCCCTTGTTTGCAACGAAAAACAGAGCAGCTCCCAACTCTGCAACCCTGGACACATCAAAAGCGGGCCGCGAAGAAGTCTTCCAGGCAACTGCAGTGGCGTGGGGCGGCAGAGCACGCAGGGCATGTGGTTCTTGAGGAGGGGGGTTTCCGAAAAATGAGGGACCCCTAATATAGTCCCCCAATAGTAGGACTCCCTTATCATAAGGACCCCCCCCCCCCCCCCAAAAGGTACCCCGAATTTTTGGGAAACCCTCAGGAGAACCCGGACCTGATTGTTTCGATCAGCGGCCTGGGCTACTCCTTCGACTTGCTCGAGGTGGGAGAGACGCTCGGTTCCCCGAGTCGACGGTGTGGGTTTAGGGTTTAGGGTTTAGGTTTAGGGTTGAGGGTTTAGGGTCCGTTTTTGCTTTGGTTTTCAACTGCGAACAGTGCTTTTTTTGTAGCCTGCTGCTTGAGATTTGAGAGCTTTCCTTGGGGAGGCACCGACCAGAAACCCTAAACCATAATCCCGAAACCCTGGTTGCAGCTGCTTTAGGCTTTCCACAGCTCATCTGGGGATATCTCAACATCGGGCTAGCCCCCAAGAGAACCCCACATTCTTTCATGCTTCTTTCTGCCCTAAACCCTAAACCCTAAACCCTAAACCATAAACCCTAAACCCTAAACACTAAACCCTAAACCCTAAACCCCCTAAACCCTAAACCCCAAAAAGCCCACCCAAAAAGGCCGGCCGGGCACCCCTACTGTAGCTTTCGGAAGCCCGGATCTAAAAAAGCCCAGGAAGCTGCCGAACTTGCCGAAGGACGGTTTCGGGTTAGGGGGGGTTTAGTGTTGCGGGAATCTCATTTCGTTAAAGAAACATATCAAAAACCCTAAGCCCTAAACCCTATACCCTAAACCCCTCTCAGGCTGCCAGAATTGAAGAAGGTTGGGTCCCGGCTTGGGGGGCCGACCGAGATCTCTTCTGAAAGCGAGGTTTCGCGGGCGACCGGTAGGAACCGGGCCGCCGAGCTAAATCGCATTTTTCTTCGAGGTCCGGGTGGTGGCCTCAAATTCAGCAACACGTTTGGTCACGGCGGCCGACCTAGTCGTAAGATGCCAGGTTCAGGGGAGAACCCCACCCGACTTGGGCTCTATATGAAACAGGGTTTATATGACTGTCATTGGCGACTGTCTGTAAGGTTCTTTTTTAATATTGGTGAGTGTATATACCTGGTGTCCTGTCGGGGGTGCCAGAAATATATAATTACCCTGCGTCACATAGTTGTTGCATGTTGTGTACAATTCCTTGCCGCTCGAACCCTATGTCCCGAAGCGCTGCCATTGGTCTTCAACTCGGAGGACAAGGTGGCCTACGAAGCACATTCCTATGCCTGGCAATCCTACACTGTTGTCTTCGATGTGCGGCTGCCTGACAGAACCTGCCTATATGGGCTGTCAACCTGACATGTTCAAGCTAAGGCCCAACTCCACCCAGATTAACACCATCACCCTTCCGCCGCTCCCGGCCATAAACTTTAAGAGCACCAAAAGCCTCACCCTCTCCAAGCCGCTGAAGCCCACCCTCCCCGCCACCCTCTCCCCCCACACAACGCTAGAGATACCCTCACTCAAAGCAGCCCAAAGCCTCTACAGATGCACTACAAACCCTGTCCCTAAACCCTATGCACCCTAAACCCTAAACCTAGAAACCCCTAAAGCTTAAACCATAGACCCAAAACCAAACCTTATAAGGCTTCCTGGCCATGTCTTGGGCCGTGGCACAGCTATGGAGGATGCTCGGCACTGGGTTCATGGGGCAAGAAGGCCCGGGGGCCTGTTGCAAGAGGCCCGGGGTATGTGGAGTAGGCTATCTGGCTTTTACATTCGGGGAACCTTCCTTCATTCCTGGGTTGCATGGATGTATACATGCCCTTCGTTTAGGTACAGGGCTGTATGTCTGGAGAGTTACAGGGCGTACGGGCCGAAGGATAGGCGGCAAGCTCAAGAAGTGGGGGTGGACATGATCACCCCAAGCCCTGTTTGCGGCTGCCGAGTCCCCAAGCTCCGAAACCCGAAGCCCGAAACCTCATCGTTCCATTTAGGGTTTAGGGGTTTCGGGGTTTAGGGTTTAGGGCTTAGGGCTTAGGGTTTTGGGGTGTGACAGCGCCAAGTTGAAAAGCCAGTGCGACGCGCTCGGCCAGCCGTGTACCTGGGCCTGTTCATTTTGTGCTTCTGGGAAAGAAAGGGTTTTCCCCCTTATAAAAAAGGGAGGTAGGGGGTCATATTCAGGGCCCATGTAACTACCCCTAGAGGATACGAAAAGCTGTACTGGGGTCGGAGATGATCGGGGAGCAGTTGGTTCTGGCTGATCTTGCCTGGTCCAGGTTCAGAGACCGTTGCACGGCATTGAACGCTAGTGTCCTTAGGAAGCGTGCTTGATTCTGATTTTGTTGGTTTGTTTTTTGTTGGTCAGACTATGATGTCAAGCACTATTTCCATCTTATGTTTCAGGCCCAAACCGACAGGGCAGTCGAATCCAGAGGCCAGGCACATGGAATCAGGAAGCAAGGCCGGCAGTTGCGTCGACCCCCTCGGCTCCCGAGCCCCCCCCCCCCCCGAAGTCGGATGTTACGCAGGAGCGACATCGGCCTGATTCCGTCTTCTATCGCGAGCCCTGAGCCGAAGCCCGGAACACCAAAAACACTGAAACTTGCTCGGGAACGCGCACCCATCTGAAATCTGCCATCCCAGACTTTGCAGAAGGAGAGCCTCCCCATGCCATCCTAGACGTCCGCTTGGAGCCCACAACGCTCATGGGGTTGACAGTGTTGGCCTGTTAAAGTTTTGAGAACCTACAGCTCCTTTTTGGACTTTTAAGCTTTAAGTTAAGGTGTTTCGGGTTTGACTTGAGCTGTGCCAACACCGCCATGCTTCCCTAGGCGCTGGGCTGTCCTGCACCACAGAGGAGAATCCACATAGTATGTTTGGTGGTCGCAGAGCTGGGTAGGCCTATTTTTGGGGTAGTTGACATGATCTTCCCTTGGATGGGTAGGCCCTTACCCAAGTATCTCGTGATTTTCCCTTACAAGGGTTGAAGAGGATCATATGTAGGAATCTTTTTTCAGGGCCATCCTAGGGGATAGTGCTGGATTTTGGGTTTGCCGGGCTCGAAGGGGTCAGCCGCATCTTCGTGCTTACCACTTCTGCATGGGTCCTAGCGGTCGTGGCAATCATCAGCTACAGATGGTGCTGATTCTTGAAAAGGTCCTCTCCTCAACCTCTACAGGTCCATGTGGCAGAAGCCTTATTAAAGCATCTGTAGCTACAGGTGGGTAAAACCCTTGTTGCATCCAAGGCCTAGGTTGGGGTCCAGGGTTTAGGGTTTCAAGGAACTGGTTTTTTGGGTTTTTGGGTTTGGGGTGACCTGCACTTCACATGCAAAGCCGCCGAAGCTTCCACACGGGCGCTGGCGAGGACGACTGCGAGCTTCGTGCCGGCGAGGGTGACGGGCCGCTGCTCGACTGCGGCTGTCGCTTTCTCGAAGCCCAAGAAAACCCTACCTAAACCCTTGCATGCAACAAGGGTTTGACCCAGAGGCCTGGATGCAAAGAAGGTTTAGAGAGTCCAGCCGCGCAAAGGGTCGGAGGTTAGAGTCGCCTTGGAGGACTCTTGCCCGCGCTTGCAAGGGTCTCTTCTGCTGTGCTGCTGCCTTCCGTTCTTTCAGAAAAGACGGGGTTTTCAGATGTTTAGAATTGAGTGGTGCCGCCCTCAGGCCATGCATTGAAAAGGGCAACATGTATACAGATATACACACTTATAGATAACAAGAAATAGAAGGAAAACAAAGTAAATGCTCATATATATATATATATATACAGACACATATACAATACGTACTTGGGGGTTTTGAGGTGCCAGGTCACCAAGCACTGGGTTTCTATCGGCCTTTTGCCTCTGAGGATGAGAGGGGGTGCGCCGGCGAGCGGTTGGTACAGCCTCCCGGCGCGAGATGGGCGGGCTGAGGGACCTTGCTTGTGGGATCAACGAGATTTCATGCTCCAGGGTTTCCCATACCATCTTGTTTCCAGCCCAACCTCGTCCTCAGCAGCACAACCCCCCCAATGTACATCCCGCGCTGAGGCGCGATCGTCCGATATGCTTCTGGCATGTCGGACTTTGCGCTTCGAAACGACCAGTGGTGGGGCTACCTTGTGACTTGCCCTCTTAAGTGGGCCTGGTCGGCTCGAGATGTGAACGAGTTTGAAATGATGGGTCCTTTTTTCAAAATGAGTTGAAACCCTAAATTGCCCTGGTGTAAAAGCCTCAAGCGCTTTAAGGCCCGAAACGGCCAAAACGCACCCTCAAGGGCACAGACAACTCCTGGCTTGGAAGCCCCATGGCCCGAACGCCAAGAAAAACCTGAAACCTACACCCACGAGGGAAGCAAGCAGCGTGAATGGATGGAGCCTTCTTCGCACAGCGCGTGGTTCGCCTGATGCGGGTCGCTTCTTTCCTCAACTGCGCTACGCAGAAGCCCCTTCATGCATGGCGAGCAAAAAAAAGCACAAGGGGCTCGGTGTTGCCAAGAACAGAACCTCCAAAATCAATCTCGCTTGAACGACCGAAGGGCTCAAGTTAGTTGGGAGACACCCAAAGATTGCACGTTATTCTTGCCGATATTCAGGAGATCCTAGACTAGAGACGCTGTGATGTCAGGGCTAACAAAGTTGCAGCCTGACAAGCTAGGTAACCTTCAAGCTCTTCGGGGCATTATATTCCCTCATCCCTAGACCCGAACCCCTAACAAAAGTTCATCCCAGAGGTGAAGGAGGGCATTGCGCCCGTGCTCGTCACCGAGTTCGGCATGAGTCATGACTTCCAAAGCCGCGGCCCGGGCGGCACAAGAGCTTGGGGGGTTCTGGGGTTGTGAATCAAACGAAATAATTCAATGGTTTCATAAGTGTTTTCTATTTTTAATTGTATTCTGAGGCACAAGAGCTTGGGGGGGTTCTGGGGAGCCCAATTGGATATGACTTTTGTAGATTTGTGTACATAAATAAGCAAATACGCACACACACACATATATATATATATATACATATATGTATATGAAACTGTGTGTGTGTGTGACTATGTGTAGATGCCACGCAAAATATGTGTGCATGTGACAGTACATGCTGCGCATACTTTTTCATTCGCATTTACCATTATACAGATATATGTTTGTGTATACATTAACAAACACAAACAAACACAAACAAACACACACACACACACACACGCACACACATATACCTATACGTATACATATACATATACATATATACATGCATACACACATATACATACACATGTACACATACATATATATATATATATATATATGGTGCATGCATATATATATATATATACATATGTACATATGTAAATATGTATATATATATATAATATGTATATATATATATATATATATGTATGTACATGCGTGCGTCGGTTCTGGGGCTGTTTTCGGAGCCCCACCCCCTCCCTCCCCCAGCCCTCAACAGCCCTGAGTCCTACACTTCTTCGGGGGTGTGTCGGCCCCCATCAGGTCACTGAACAAACCCCAGACCCAACAAGCCCTGTGGACCCTAAACTAAACCCCCACCCCAGCCGCGCTTCAGACCCCAACGACGCCCTGTGGTGGGAGAAGTTCAGCAGGTATGTGGTGGAGGCTGTGCCCGACCCTTTTGTAAGGTCCAGGTCTTTTATGGGGATTCTAATAGGGGATTCTATAATAACAATTAAGTAAGGGGGAACATCATTTTAGATAAGGAAGCAAGGGATCCCTAGCGCGCAGAGGAGCACGCTGATCTTGTGAGGGCTCTGGATGGGGATGCTAAAGCTGGGAAATATACTTACAACCCCACTTAAGGTACTTGTACCCCTACTTATAACTACCCTAATGAACCTCCCAGTGAAGATTTTATGATGTCACCGCCCTCCTTCTCACACCTCTTGCATGTTGAATTGAGAGTAGTGCAGGATGGCCCTCTGGCCCATGACGGAGGCGGCACTGGCTTTGTCTTGAGGTTGCGGCCATGTGTTTCTGTGGCTGGTGCTAATGTCGGTTACGGGGTATAAGGAGGGACCCCTGGAAGGGACCCTTAAATCGGATTCTTGCTTTGCCTTCAAGGCCAGTGGCCAATGTTGTGGGCTTGCGTCTGCGGTACGAACTCGCTCAGGTCTTGCGTGACCTAAACCCTAGCCCTAAACCCTAAGGCTTAAGTGCGTGCCTAAACCCTGAACCCTAAACCCCAAACCCTGAACCCCAAACCCCTGAACCCTAAACCCTAAATCCTGAGCCTGAATCGAACAGGCCTCGACTGGATGTACTGGGCTCTGCCAGGGGAGCAGGAGAGCGTCAGGGTGCTGCAATGGGGGAGTTTCATGTAGGGTTCTAAGAATCGTAATTCTGCTTAAAAACTCCATTGAGGGTGATTTTTACCCAAATAGTACTCTCAGTTGAGTTTATCATATTAGGTTACCTTACTTACAACCTCACTTAGAACTGCCCGTGAGCCTCCAAGCACCCGCCTAGACCCTGGACTTGGCCCAGGAGGGCGGCACTTCGCGCCACGAGGGGGCCACGGAGACCTTTGGGGAGCCTCGGGCAACCATGTGGGTGGGTTTAGGGTTTACTAAATCCCACAGGCCCCTAGGCTTCAAAGGGTTATCGGGGATAGGATCAGAGGGACCCTTGGGGATATAGACCCTCTGAATAAGGTCCCTTTTTAAGGGTCCCCCTAATGCTACCTAGGAGGTTACAAAATAGTTCGCCCAACGAATCCCCAGACTCTGAGCCCTAAAGCTTTGTGCAGTTGTCGGGTATCGTCGGTTGTGTTGGCTTTCACCACAAACTACGTCGATGCCAGATAGCTTCCGGTATAGTAGAAGCTAGTAGAAGTTGTGGATGGCAGTAAAGCCTCGCAGTTCGCACCCCTAAACCCTAAACCCTTAACCCTAAACCCAGAATCCCAAGGTCATGAATCACTGCCTGACGGCCCCTGCGTCCGAGAAGCACATGGATGCTCTTCGAAGCATCATGAGCCGCCGGGATCTGGTCATCTGAACGCCGAAGCCCTCTCTATTCCTAAAGCCCCAAGCCCTAAAGGCCTTGAGGCCCTTTTCAACCTTTTAAATCCGGCCGTGCAAAACTGCGCCAGTCCGGCGCCGGGCCTTAGACTCGGGCCGGAGGTAGGCTTAGCTCGACAAGTTTTTTGGTGAAGGTTTGTGTTTTGGGTTCGGGAGCCGATGGGATAATAAGTCCCATCGAAACTCCCCCAGAACTCCCCCAGTTCTTTTCGGGTCTTGCACCTGTGCCAAGAGTTTCTAGCCCTAAGCCCAAAACCCTAAACCCTAAACCCTAGACCGGCGCGGCTTTACGGGTTCCAGGGGCCCTGGGTCCCATAGTGGTGGTTCGTGGGTCGGAGCTGGCCTACTATGTGCTCAAGAACCCCCCAAGAAAACCAGAAGAAAAGACTCCCTATATTGCCCCTACAAGGAAGAAGATCTTCCATTTCTATCTTAGAAGATGACAATCCCTATATTGCCCTTACACGGATATCGGCCATTTTTTCATTTAGAAGATGATAATGCGTATATTGCCCTTATAAGAAAGAGTATGTTCCTATTGGTTGAATTTGGGGGGGGTTCTTCAGCAAAAAGTAGTGGCGGAGTGCATGACGGACAAGGGCAGACGTTCCCTTGAAAAGGAAGCGCGCCCAGTCAGCCCTAGACCCTAGACCCCGAAACCTAAACCCTAAACGCTAATCCCCCCCCCCCCTACCCTAAACCGCCGATCCAAGTGCTGCGTCGCCTTCCAGGATTGATCAGCACTCCCAGCTCTGTAAGCCCCAAATAGCCAAAGACCCTCCGCAAGGGTTTAGGGTTTAGGGTTTAGGGCTACAGCTTGAGGCGCAAAGACCCGATTCTCCAGCCGTTCTACTATGGCTTTTTTCGCAGTCATTTGGCTTCACAGTTTTTCGGTCGCCCCCTCGCGACTGCCTAGTGTAGTATCCTAGTGTGCCCTGGGCCGATGTGCGTCCGGCTTCAAGGAGGGATTTAGGCCGAGCCCCACCTCCACACCCGTAACTTCCGGGAACTCAGCACCCCCCTCCCGTTTGGGGGAGGATGCTGCGTGTTTGGCGGATCTCGGGTGACGAGCTGGCATCTTTCCCGGCGGAGCAGCTCAGCAACGTGCGTGCCCTGAAGCGCAGCTTGCAACCGCTTTGCGGGCTGCCGCGCTTCCGTCAGCGGCTCCATCACAATGGCCTCAACCTGGAGGACGACGTAGATCCTCGGCTGTTCTTGATCATGGACATGTTCTGATTGCGTGGTCAGCCTTCAAGTGTATACATGTGTGTGCAGGTTCGCCGTAGACATGACCAGAAAGGTATCAACCTTGATTGTAGCATCCAGCCAGGAGCTGCACACTGCTCCAAGCAGCCTGCAGCTGGTCTTGCTGCCCTTCGCCAGCGCCTCCCAAGAAGAGGTGGCGGAACTGATGCTGGCCGCCGACACAGGTTCTGCTGGGGAAGTGGAAGGCATCCTCCAACGACCCCAAGATCCGAACTTGGAGCCAGAGTCGAGTCCCCTCTTTGCCGCCTCTCGGGGGGGCCACGCGGAAGTGGTGCGCCTCTTGCTGGAAGCTGGCGCCCGCACTTCGCAAGGGAACTGTGAGGGGGATACACCTCTGCATGCAGCCTCTGCCCATGGCCTGGTGGAGGTGGTGCGCTTGCTCCTCGAAGCCAAGGCTGACAGCTCGAGCAACTCGCTTGGCCTGACACCTCTGCACATGGCCTCGCAGAGGGGTCACCTGGAGACTGTGCGCCTGCTGCTGCCGCCAAAGGCGGCCAATGGCCAGAGCGCGACTCTTGGCTTGATGCCCATTCTTCCCATCGCCTCCGCGTATGGCCAGGTGCTGTGTCATGCTGTTGTGTAGCGACACTAAGGCCCCCAAGGTTTGTTTTCCCCTTGCTGCCTGTGTTTTGTTGTGATCCTGACCCGCCTGACTCGTATCACAGCAGCGCTGAGATGGCACAAGATGCGGTAAGGCCCCAGATGCCTCCGGAGGCATCGAAAGGCAGTGGCTGTAGGCTGTAGATGCGCCAGTCTGCCCTGCAGGTGGCTGTTGTACGTCTTCTCTTGGAGGCAGCTGCCGACAAGGACCAGAGCGACAGACTGGGACTGACGCCTCTTTGCGCCGCAGCCCAGTATGGTGAGGTGGAAACCGTGCGCACCTTGCTGGAGGCCCGTGCTGATAGGGACCATCGTGCCCATGCGGGGTTGACGCCTCTTCAGGTCGCATCCGCACAAGGCCACGTGGCCATTGTACAGCTCTTGCTGGAGGCCGGGGCTCGCAAGGAGGAGAGGGACAGCCGTGGGCTCACGGCTTTGTGGATGGCATCTCAGAAGGGCCACGACAGCGTCGTGCGGCTGCTGCAGGCCGGTTCAGAGGGTTCAGAGGCCAGCAATCTCGGCCAACCGCCTTCCGTTTTAACCGATGGGCTCGGTACCGCGTCGGACAAGGCCGCCGCAGCTCCAAATGCGCAGCCTCCTTGAGCTCAGCAGCCTACAGGCTTAGGCATTAGTATGTCTGTCCTTTCAGGAAGATTAAAATAATTAAAAACTAAGCAATCTTTTTTGAACAACAATAGATCTAAGGGGGGCCTGGGCGTTCCGCGGGTTCAGTTTGTCTTTAGGTGATTGCCAAGATAACCCTGGCCGAGCAGCTCACTTTCGTTGTTGGGAGGCACACCATCTCCTCAACCATCCAACCCTAAACCCTAAACCCTAAACCCGAAACCCTAAACCCTAAACCCTCAACCCCACCTAAGCTTTCTCACCATGGACATTCGTGGGTGGACTCCGAAGAGATATTCTGCCTTGGTTGGGGATCCTGTAAAGTTGCGGGTTTAGGCTTCGGCATCGCCGGCCTCTTTAGAACCCGTGCCTTTTAAGGACCCCCAAACCCTAAACCCTAAACCCTAAACCCTAAACCCTAAACCCTAAACCCTAAACCCTAAACCCTAAACCCTAAACCCTAAACCCTAAACCCTAAACCCTAAACCCTAAACCCTAAAACCCTAAACCCTAAACCCTAAACCCTAAACCCGAAACCCTAGACCCTAGACCCTAAGCCCTAAGCCCTAAGCCCTAAACCCAGGCCATTAATTGCAAGTGTCGCCAGCAGAGGCAGGCATCCGGGGCCGTGGAACTCCGTCAGGTGTCAACCCGACAGCCTGTGAGTGTCTTTTGCCTGTGACCGCCGCCCGGCAGCGCTCAAGGGTACTATTGCCCCAAAGTCCCCGTGCGCGAGCCAGAGGAAGCCATGAGCAACGAGGCCGGTTTCATGCAGCTGAGAGTGGCAGGGTATGTTGCCCATGTCTGGCTTCAAGCCCTAATCTCCCGTCCCTGCCTTCGTTTGATTCTTAGGCCTTGAACTTTTTGTTCACCTGTAAGAGGTGATGCAGGGTTTAGGGTGAGAGCCCTGCCGGAATGGGGGGATCTGGAGTACCGTTGGCTTCGTGGAAATGTTTTTTTTGGGGACAATCGAGCCTGGACTTTCTTATGCTGTTTCAGCCAGGCCTCTCGGTCAAGAGACAGATAAGCAGCTTTGTCGGTTTGGTGGGGTGGCATTTGTTTTGGTTGAATTGCGGGAGCGGGGGGTGGTGCGAGGGGTGCTTTGAAGAGTAGGGTTGTTAAGTTCACCTGAACTCCGAACCCCGCTTTTGCATGCCCTATACCTTTGTACGGGATCATCTCAATTGGCCGCATATTTTAGACCAAAAGAGGCCCCCATGATTCGGTCAACCCACGCATGGCATTTGTTTCGAGAGACAGCAAACTCAGGGCCCGTACTGTAGGTTCCTTGAGTCACGATCTTGGCCCTTGCCCCAGGAAGGTCGTGCAGAGGCGCCGGGGCATGTGGTGACATGTGGTGTTTCTGGGTTGAGGGCAGAGCCCTCAACCTGCGCATGCGAGCCAGGCGTCAGTGCTAAGCTGCTGAGCATTTGTGGCGGAATTGCGTGGGGGTGGCTTGTGCACCTGCCCGCGCGCAGCCCCGCACCCGAAGCACCCCCACACCCAGCCACCCCACACGCACCCACCCCACTCACCCGCACCTAGCTTTTTCAACGGCAAGAAGACAGGAAGACTTGCATCCAGATGTTGCGGAGCTATACATCATGATGGATAAGCTGGGCAACTCGTCGGCATGGTGTTGCAAGGTTCGGCCTTTTGTGGTAGTTTGGGCTTTTGATGCCCTTGTGCTGGGATCGCTGATGCTTCAAAATATCATCAAGGAGGATGGCTTCGTGAAGTGTTGCGCGGCTGTTGCGATCGCCGTCGTCGGATGGCCATCAAATCCGCTGCGCTTCCAACTCCGGTGCGCGTCCTAAATGGACCTCGCGGATGTCCAGGACCCCAAGCCTTAAACCCGAAGCCCTAACCCCAAGACCCTAAACTACGCCGCCTGTGTGCTAGCTAGCGCGAGAGTCGAAACTACGCCGCCAGCGAAAGAATACTGAAGCCGGGCAAAGCAAACACGACCAGCAGCCATGGTCCGAAATCCGAAAAGTCTGATGTCCCGAAGGGTTTAGGGTTCTGGAGTTACCCTAAACCCTAAACCCTAAACCCTAAACCCTAAACCCTAAACCCTAAACCCTAAACCCTAAACCCTAAACCCTAAACCCTAAACCCTAAACCCTAAACCCTAAACCCTGCGTGCGCTCAGGTGAGGGCACCTACGGCACCGTGACCCGCGCGCGGCCTAGGGACAACCCGCACGAGGAGGTGGGGCCTTTGAGGGCTTAGATGGAGGTTTAGGGTTTAGGGTTTAGGGTTTAGGGTTTAGGGTTTAGGGTTTAGGGTTAGGGATGAGGGTTGAGGGTTTAGGGTTTAGGTTTTAGGGTTTAGATGGGACTATTTTGGAGATCAACATTGGGGGTCCCTTCTTTCGTGAACCCCCAAATGCTTGAGTTCTACACCATGAACAAGTACTTCAAGCTCAGCGTGGAACACTGAGTAGCCCGAAAAACAAATTATGCTCTTGAAATCCAACTGCACCCAAAGTGGTGTCTTTCTTTAAAACTTCGATGGACATTGAATCCTTGGCTGCCTTGGTGAGCGTGAGCGTCGAAGATGGGCGAAGTGCTTTCCAGCTCCCAACCCTAACCCTAAACCCTAAACCCTGAACCCTAAACCCTAAACCCTCAACCCTCAACCCTAAACCCTAAACCCTAAACAAGAGCTAGGGTTGAAGCTGCCACGGGAAGGTGGCCATCAAGCGCATCCGGCTGCTGCATGAGGAGCATTGCTGGGTTTAGGGTTCAGGGTTTAGGGTTTGGGGTTTGGGGGTTACTTCTAAGGGGTTTAGGGTTTACGTAGGGTTTAGGGCTTACGGCTTAGGGTTTAGGGTTTAGGGTTTAGGGTTTAGGGTTGGTTTCAAGCAGTCCCCGGTTGCAGACATTGCAGCAGCTGATGGGTCAGGGCGTTTTTTTGCCCTGCAACCCCTGTTCACAAAAGCAAGGTGGGTATGTGGCCGACACACCAAGAGCGCAGTCCGGGTGCAAGCAAGTATAGGTCTAGGCTTCAGGCGATCAGTGCCAGTTCAGATTCGCAGGGTAGTTTCAAGGCCCTTAATGTGGTCCCTAACCTCCTTTAAAGGGTTCTGATGTATGGGCCCTTAATTTGTATAGGGTATATAAGGGGTATATAAGGGGTATATAAGGGGTATATAAGGGGTATATAAGGGGTATATAAGGGGTATATAAGGGGTATATAAGGGGTATATAAGGGGTATATAAGGGGTATATATGGTTCAGCCCCGGCGGGCCCCCCCCCCCCTACCCCCCCCCCCCCCCCATGGTATCCCCCCCCCCCCCTGTGGTGTGGTTGGGGGTTGGTTTTAGGGTTTTAGGGTTTAGGGTTTAGGGTTTTAGGGTTTTAGGGTTTTAGGGTTTAGGGTTTAGGGTTTAGGGTTTAGGGTTTAGGGTTTAGGGTTTAGGGTTTTCCCCGCGGATGGGGTACTAAGATGATACCCCCCCCCCCCCTGTGGTGTGGTTGGGGGTTGGTTTTAGGGTTAGGGTTTAGGGTTCAGGGTTTTAGGGTTTAGGGTTTAAGGTTTAAGACTTAGGGTTTAGGTTTTAGGGTTTAGGGTTTAGGGTTTAGGGTTTAGGGTTTAGGGACCGTAGAGTAGACTTGGGGGGGGGGGGGATACCATGGGGGGGGGGGGGGGGGGGGGGGGGGCGGGAACGCCCGACGCTGAACCATATAAGGGGTATATAAGGGGTACCCTTTTAATCTAGGGCGGACGAGCAACCCGGATCTGGCCATTGCCCCTGAGCTCATTCTGGATGGGGGCCCCAGATGGCTAAAGAACCCCCAAGAAGATCCAAAAAATCTCAGCACCTCGCATTCGAGTTCTCTGAGGGCTTCGGGTTTAGGGTTTGGGGTTTAGGGTTTGGGGTTTAGGGTTTAGGGTATCTGTAAGCCACAAGAGTCGGGTGAGTTGAGGCAGGGTCCTTTCAACCCCCCGGAGCCTGAAAGGACGGCGTCCCGGCCGTGGCTCTCCGGGAGATTGCCTTGCTGAAGGCCCCCGGTGTCAGAGAGTTAAGGGTTTAGGGTTTAGGTTTAGGGTTTAGGGTTTAGGGCTTAGGGATCGACAGAGACAGAGTCCCGGACACTAAGCCTTCAACTTGGGATATTCCCCCTTATACTAACAGTCCTTCATTGGGATTGTAGTACCCACTATGAGAATCCCTACAAAGGACCGTTCGTATAAAGGGGAACATCCCAACCTATGAAACCCTAAACCCTCAACGCTCCCGAGTCCTGCGGGCCCTAGTTAGCTGGACACTCATTCTTCGCTTCGGGACCACGCGCGTGCGAGATGTGGAATCTGTCTTGCTGCTGACACTTCCAAGCCCTTGGTGCCAGTCTCTGAACCACGAGAACGTAATCAGGCTCCTGGACGTGCGGCTTGTCCAGCATATGTTCTCTTGGCTTGGGTTTCGGGGCCTTGCTTTTTGTGAGCGCAAGGCAGAGGCAAGACTTGCCCTAATCTGCCCAGGCCATGAACTGCCGCTGGGAAAGTTGCATGTCGCAGCCACGAACAATCACGCGCCACCTCAGACCCCGAACCGAACTTCTAGCCTTCAAAGGAACCCGGAACCCATGTCGTTTTCGAGATATATAGGTATATATGATGCATGACAATGTTATGATATTTATACACAATTACACACATATGTATATATATAGGTTTTAAGATATTTAATCAATTTTCCATCCATCACATAGAATACCTCACTTACAGTTGAACGTCTCGGCCCAAGTCACCCGGCATGCCCCCCCCCCCCCCCCCCAGTCAACCCTAAACCCGAAATCCTAAACCCTAAACCCTAAAACCCTAAACCCTAAACCCTAAACCCCAGTCTTATCAGTCTTAACAGGTGCAACAGCTGGTCGAGTATTTACTTGGTCTTCGAATGCTTGGACCGAGAGTCGGGTGTTTGAACATGTTGCAGAATGTTGCGACTAGGGTTTAGGGTTTAGGGTTTAGGGTTTAGGATTTAGGGTTTAGGGTTTTAGGGTTTAGGGTTTAGGGTTTAGGGTCTGACAGTGGCCGCTTCGCGCTCTTTGCATGGCTTTTGCGCTTTTTGAGGACGAAGGCAGAGCCTCAAAACCCTGAAGCCCTAAAGGCCCTGCACCCTAAGCCCTAAGGGCCCTAAACCCGTTGTTGTGGAGAGGACATGGATCTGCGCGCCTACCTCAAGCGCTTCGGCCGGCTTGAGGGTTCCGCACTGAGGTGGGAGAGAGGGGAAGAAGGGTTCAGGGTTTAGGGTTTAGGTTTTAGGGTTTAGGGTTTACGGGAGCTGCCTGCTGAGCTTGAATTTCCTGACAAGAGGCGAAGCACTCAAAGACACCCTTCCAATGGCGTGGCTCAAGCATTTGAGAAGGGCGGCGGTCTTGCTGTTTAAAACACGCGTGTGTTGCCTTGTTCACTTCAAGAATCCTGTAATGCAACAGCGCTGTGTCTTCATGAAGGTCTTTGCAGATTCAACAGGGCTTTGGACTGCAACCTGTTAAAGTCAACAACAGCATGCTGCGGCTGCTTGAGCGGTGCATGTGGCAGCTTTTCGCGGCGTTGATCGCGGCAGGGCGTGCGCAAGAGATCATAAGCGGTTGCTTCTGCAGCCCTCCATTCGGAGCAGCCACACATGTCGGCGTTGGCAGTGAAAGTGCCTGCAGTGCTGCGGCCACGACGCTCGGATACACGTACGGTGGAGTGTCGGCGGGGCCATCCGGCTTCGGTGCACCCGCCACAAGTTGCTGGACGCAATCCACAGAGACGACCCTCTGGTGGAACAGCAACATCTTCGCCTACGGCTGTGACGGCACCACCATGCAGGTTGTCTGCAACTTGGTCACGACGGTGACGGCAACCACGGTGACCGAGACTACGAGCACCTCGGCCACCATCACCTCGAGTACGCAGACGACAAGTACGCAGACAGCGACGAGCATCACCATCACCATCACCACGCAGACGACCTCCTCGATCACACAAACCACCGAGACACTTACTGCCACAGCGACCTCCACAACAAGCTCAACTTCTCGCAGCGCCACCTCAACCGAGACGAGCTCGACCAGCACCACATCTGCCACAGAGACGACAAGCACAAGTGCAACGAGAACAAGCTCCACGAGCACTTCGGCCACTTCGACGGCTACGACAAGCTCAACCGGCACCGCCACAACCTCCGTCTCGACGACCACTGCAACGATCTCCAGCACTGCCACGATGACAAGAACTACCACGGTGTCCGAGACATCATCCACCTCAACAATCGAGTCGACAACCATCACAAGTTCAAGCTCCGCAACCACTTCCTCTCAGACGACCACCACATCCACAAGCATCAGCTCGAGCACCAGCAGCTCCAGCTTTACGACCACCAGCTGGACCTCCTCCACCTCCTCTACCTCCTCTACCTCCACTTCCTCGTCTTCCTCCACCTCTTCCTCCTCATCCTCATCCACCACGTCCTCCTCACCTACTACATCCTCCTCATCCTCGACTTCCGCCTCCACATCTTCCCAGATCGGCACACACACGTCATCGCACACATCCACAACATCCTTCACGACCACCAGCTCCACTACTTCCAGCTCCTCATCATCTCTTTCCACCTCCTCCACTCTCGACACATCGAACTCTTCAGCGAACAGCTCCTCGGATGCTGACACGGTGGTTGATGGCAATACGTCAGCGGGCAACGGCACCTCATCAACCGCTAGCACGTCTTCGACCTCCACCCAGGTTGACGCTGGGAACGGCACCTCGTCGACCTCCAGCACGTCTTCGACCTCGACCCAGGCTGAGGCTGGCAACGGCACCTCGTCGACCTCCAGCACGTCTTCGACGTCGACCCAGGTTGAGGCTGGGAACGGCACCTCGTCGACGGCAAGCACATCTTCGACCTCGACCCAGGCTGAGGCTGGCAACGGCACCTCGTCGACCACCGAGGTTGAGGCTGGGAACGGCACCTCGTCGACGGCAAGCACATCTTCGACCTCGACCCAGGCTGAGGCTGGCAACGACACCTCGTCGACCTCCAGCACGTCTTCGACCTCGACCCAGGTTGAGGCTGGGAACGGCACCTCGTCGACGGCAAGCACATCTTCGACCTCGACCCAGGCTGAGGCTGGCAACGACACCTCGTCGACCTCCAGCACGTCTTCGACCTCGACCCAGGTTGAGGCTGGGAACGGCACCTCGTCGACGGCAAGCACATCTTCGACCTCGACCCAGGCTGAGGCTGGCAACGGCACCTCGTCGACCTCCAGCACGTCTTCGACCGTTGAGGCTGGGAACGGCACCTCGTCGACCGCTAGCACGTCTTCGACCTCGACCCAGGCTGAGGCTGGCAACGACACCTCGTCGACCGCTAGCACGTCGGGAATGTCGGGCCAGGCAGGGGGTGACAGCTCCACATCCCTGAGCGCATCCAATGTCAACGAGTCCAACAGCTCCGGTGATACAGATTCCATGACAACTACACTGACGCCTTCCTGGTTAGCCTTCGCAGCTGCTGGCTGCTTCTCCCGCGACGTTCTGTCATTGGAGGGCTTGGCTAGCGAGCCGAACTGGGCAGTCCAAACCCCGGCCACGGTGCTCTGGATACTGCTTGCTGTGGCTTTGCTGTCCTTGCTCCTTGCCGCAGCGTGCACGGCTCCTGTGCCGCCGGCCTTCGAGGCCCTGCGCCGAGCTGCGCCGCCCCGGCGGCGGAGGATGTGTGACGGGGAGCCGATTCATCGCCAGGTTGTGCTGAGGTGCATCCTGCTTGTGCGGTGCGATGGTGCCGGGATGTGCATGGCATCGCTCGGGGTCATCGAGGAGGGACGCCGGGCCTCCGTGGCCATTCGTGGAACCTGGGCGGCAGCACGGGATGAAGCGGCCTTGGCCGCCAATGTCTACGGCCAGGCAGTCTATGCCATGGAGTCCTTCCTCAGTGATTCCGCAGGGATCTGGGGCCGGTTCCAGATGCTGTGGCCGGCCATGCAGCCCTGGAAGGAAGTGCTGTGTTTCAGCTTCTTCTCCTCACATGTTGAGCGAGCTGCTCGCCTCCTCCTGCGTCTCGTGTTTGCTGCTGCATTGGGGGCACTGCTGCGCCAGGCGATCTTCGGTGCTTTTGCTCGGTCTGCCACGCACCAGGTTTGCCAGGCGCGTGCTGGGGACGACGCGCAGGCGCTGCCGGTGTCGCTGCTCTGCCACGCTCTCGCAGCCCTGTGCTGCGCTCCCATCTCAATGGCGCCGCTGGCGACAAAGCCCCGATGCGCCTGGCTCCGCTGGGCCCTGCTCGTCGCCGGCAACATGGGCTCGCTTCTGATCGTCGTCCTGTTCCTGGCCAACTCCAGCAACGCGGATGGTACGTGGTGGCTGGTCTGCCTCATCGGCATCCTCGTGCAGGAGTTTCTCTTCATCCCACTCTTTGCGGGCTTTGGCCTCGCCACGCTGGCCACGCTCCTCCTTCGAAACCCCAGCCTCGCGGAGGAGCTCCGGGATTGCTCCACGCAGGCGCTGGCCCCATTTTTGGAGAATGAGAAGTCCAAGGAGTCCTTGCAGAACCGGATCTCCATCACCTCAGAGCAGAACCGGATCTCCATCGGCTCAGAGCCTTCGGTGGTCATGGAGGACAGCGGCCGCATGGCGGCCCCCTCCCTGATGCGGAACATCAGCCAGCAGAACACCAAGGGACAGGTGCTCGCAGTGATGCCTGGGATGCCGAGCTAGGAGCTCCTCAGCTCAATTTCAAACCCAGTAGTAGAGTAGGTAACCTTTAACCTTTTTGGGGTAATATGTTCCCCTTATAATCCCAAAGGTTAGCCTTTATTTCCCCAGGTTACTGGACAACTAAGCAAAGGCTAGGGCCGGGTTTTTCACCATAGGGTCTATTCATAACCTGGGCAGCCGCGTAATGGGGGGGTTAGATTACGTGAGGGACAAGGCTTTTGGAGTTTTTGGCCTGCAGACTTCCCCAAAACATCGATATTCGGGGACCCTTCCCGCGAGCATGACTTGCCGGCACTGAGGGTGCCGTCATCACAGCGAAGGTGGTTCACGTGAAGCCTGTGAGCGTTCAGCCTGAAATGGCTAGTGTGTTGACGGTCATGCACGTCCATGGGTACGTTTGCTTCAGAGCCGCAATGGCGGCCAGCAATGCAACTTTCTTACCCCATCCGTCGGGTCGTGTGCTCTGACCAGCCACGGCAAGCAAGAGCCTGTTTACAAAAGGCTTCGTACTTGGTGCAGACGACCCGATGATCTCCTCTCTCTCTCTCTTGCGGGGCTTTGGGCGGCAGAGTCGTCAAATTGCCCTTGTGCATGAAGGGCCCGTCCGGTGCTCAGGAAGCAGGAGTACACAAGCTCCACGGACGTACAGTGCTTTAAGCTTTACTTGCTCGAGGGCCTGGATGTTTCGCCACTTCGACGGTAGAGGATCAGCAGGGAGTGGGATTCAGTTGGCGAGGCGCTGGAGCCACCTTTTTTCGTGAGCTGGTTCTTCAAAGAACCGACTCCGACGGGAGCGATTACTTGGGAAACGGTGGCGGCAAGTTTCCATATGGAGGGCTACCCTTTAGGGGGTTCCTACAATTAAGGATGAAAGTACTTGGGGGAATCATAGGGGTACCCCTCTGTTTGGCAAATGGCCACATGAACCCAAGAGTGCCCCGGGCCCTTAATTAGTTCAAGGCCAGCAGGGAGTCTAGTGAAGTGGTGGCATCACTAGGTTTAGGGTTTAGGGTTTGGTGTCACAGGCTTCCGGAGTACGGGCAGAGGAACTTGTAAGACATGCTATGTTTCGCAGACTCCTTGCTGGCTTTGCCATGATTGCATGCATGATGCCCTCAGATTGTGATCACCTCAACCTCCAAGCCCCCAAAGCTTTAACTCATCAACCCCCCAGACCTCAAAGTTTTGTACCCAAAGCTCCGCGACAGCGGATTTTCCCAGATCCGGACCCAGCAGAGAACTTTGCTGGTTGTCGGCCTCTGATAATTACCAGGTTCGATGCCTGCCCAGACTCAGTTAGCAGCCTGGGACGTGGAGTTCAGTTGACAGTTTGAGCGCAGGTTGAAAAAGCGAGCCTCCTTTAAGCAGCCGGCCCGCCTGCTTTCTCGAGTGTACCGAAACCCCTCACGCAAAGAGTTTTGGGTTTCGGGGTTTATAGGGTTTAGGGGTTTATAGGGTTTAGGCCCCTGGCGCAGGAGCTGCATCTTGCAATGCTTCCAGGGCATCCAGTTCTGTCACAACCACCGTGTGCTTCATCGTGACCTCAAGCCGCAGAATGCGCCCTGGCCCAGTCCGACTGAAAATGCCCTCGTGGGCTGTACTTGGAGGTTCATGGTACTTCTCAACCAATTCTAACTGTACTTCTAACCTACTTATAAGCCTCTTAAATGCCCTAATATGGTTATAAGTACAGTCATAAGTACACTGGTAATTGGTTAGTAAGTACCATGAACCTCCAAGTAGATGTTGGGTGCTGAGTACGAGAACCTGAGTGGCTGGAACATCATGGGGGGGTGATTCCATGATTCTTTCCCTTTCAGTTCCTTCATGCCAATAAGTCGGAAACCCTGCTGGAGTGGTTTAGGTTGCAGCGTCCGGTGGGGGAGTCAAGTGTTCTGCGCATCGCTGGAGCATGCGCTGCATTCGCCGCTTCCATCCTGCACGTAATACTGTAATACCTACAACATGATTATCCTGTGCTGCGATGCCAGAAAGCTCCCTACGAGAATCAGAAACGGAACTTGCATCTAGAGATACGTCCGGCGGTTTTCTTTGTAAATTCTCTGCCCGTTGAGCTGTGTGCACTACGCCGCCGCGCGAGGCCTTGACAGAGGGTTGGGAGTTCGGAGAAGGCTTCGTGTCGAAATGCACGTCCTTGAACCCACGGATTCTGCCCCAGCCTTACAGCCCAAGGTTCTGGTGAAGTTGCGCTGGCCACAAGCTCCACGTCTCGTGCCCAAGCACGCAATTGCAGGTTTCAGTGAACTGCTAAACCCTAGAAGCCAAAAGCTCGAATCCACCCAGAACTGAAGGTTGCAGGGTTTGAGGGATTTCTAATCGGGTGAAGAGTGTAGGGTACCCTAAACCCTAAACCCTAAACCCTAAACCCTAAACCCCAAACCCTAAACCCTAAACTTTAGGGAGTCGGGAAAGTCCCCAAATGCAGACAGGCATGAAGCACGAGAACCCCAACCGGTTTAGGGCTTAGCTGATGCTCTGAGTCTGGGTTCGGTTTAGGGTTTAGGGTTTAGGGTTTAGGGTTTAGGGTTTAGGGGTCCCTATATTCTGGACCAACCAGGATGACATGTAGAACCATCCAGAGCCTGACCCGAGTGTCCCTTGTTGGCGTTTGATAACCCACTTGTCGCCTTTGCATCTTTGATCTGTTGTCGGTGTATGTAGGTGCTTGTCAAAATTATGGTCCCTTTTTGGATCCCCATTATAATACGGCACATAATATTTAGGGTACCCCAAACGGGATCATACTTTTGACAACCACCCATATGGCACCCTTACAAACATCCTACCATGTTGGAGTAGTGATTTCGAAAAAGCAGCCGATCTTCGGCTCCCGCTTTTCGACATGTAGGGAGCCAGGGGGTTGTTCAACATGTGAGGTTTCATCATACAGACGAAAGAGATGAGGGTCAATTGCAGGTGTAGCCTCGTAGTATCGGCCAATGTTTGTACTGGTAATGAACGGTTCGGTTAGACGCGGACAATATGAAATTTCAGCTTTGGAAGGGTTGAGCGGACAACGGATACGAATACTTAGTGATGCTATTTTGGGTCTCACGAGTGTGGAAGAATTGCCGAACAGGAAAAGCTATATAGTTCTCATTGATCGCGTTTTTTCCTTTCAGGCCTTGGAAAGGTTGCAGGAAACGGGACAGACCAAAATTTAGCCACCATATGTTGGTTTCAGGCTTTTGGGAGCTCGCAGCAGAGAACGAACAGAAATGCTCAGTGGTGCATTTTCTGCAGGTGTTTGCAAGAACGAAAGCTGTTGTGTAACTCTGTTGCTTGAGAACCAGGTGCTAGAATCCCTAAACCCTAAGCCCTAAGCCCTAAGCCCTAAACCCTAAACCCTAAACCCTAAACCCTAAACCTATGGCGGAAAGGCATAATATGGATGTGTGGATCTTTGGGGTCTGCGGGGTAGCAGAGATATAAGCCCTAAGCCGTAAGCGTAACCCCAAAGCTCAGCACACCAGCAGGAAGGTTAGGGTTTAGGGTTTAGGGTTTAGGGTTTAATTAGGGTTCAGGGTTTAGGGTTGAGGGTCAGTCCGGCTGCAAGAAAGGGTTTAGGGTTTAGGGTTTAGGGTTAGTTGGGAGTGAGCATATCCGGCAAATGTGGGCAGCTGGCCAGGTGCTGGCAGACTTCGGCCTAGCACGGGCGCTGCACGTGCCGCTGAAGGCTCTGCTTTCAGGGTTTAGGGTCCAGGGTTTGGGGCTGAGGGTTTGGGGTTGAGGGTTTAGGCTTTAGGGTTTAGCGCAGATTTTTGTTGAGGACTCGGGCTGAGAGTAGAGGTTCACGGCAAGAAGGGCTTAGACGATTTCCTGACCATTCCCGGCCGACTCCCCAAGCGTGGATGCGAAAGGGCTTAGTTGAGCGTAGGCTTTCTAGAGCTTAGGGTTCATAACTCCTATATTAAACAGTCACCTACCTGCAGATGGCGTGAGCAATACTTCAAAACTATTGAGGTTATGAGAGGACATCTCACCCTTGATGCCGGGCTCGTGTTTTAGGGTTCACCTGCCATCCAACGGCGGAATGCCGTGCAATGACCTGGCGCCTCAACGTCGCGAGCTTGCTTTGAAGGGGAGTCCAGTAAGCTTAGCAGGTGCTTTTCCCGCCTGCTGTGCTCCACCGTGTCACACTTGCACCAGTCAGTGGAAGGGTGCTTGTCCGGATTGTTGAGTGACAAAAAAAAACAAAGCGAAACCGTGGCAGGTTTACACGCACGAGGTGGTCACGCTGTGGTACCGCCCTCCAGAGATTCTTCTTGGTCAGGCGCGCATCATAAGCCCCCAGGCCCATGGCCCTTCCAGCCCTCAAGTCTTTGAGGGTTTTGGATTCCATGGGCCCAACCCTAAACTCAACACCCGAAACCCAAAACCCTAAACCCCAACATAGACCCCGCAGTGCGGTGGCTAGTCGGGCGGCAAAAAAGCCCAACATCCCCTGAGTCGGCTTCCAGGAGCAGTACGGCACGGCCGCTGACATCTGGTCGATGGGATGCTCGGCCTAGTTTTTTGGAGGTAATGATTCAGGGGCAGATTGCTCTTTCCCCTAATCTTCTCTGGGTTTATTGCTAAAGCCAGGATGCGTGCTGGCGGAGATGGCCACAGCCCAGGCTTTGTTCCCTGGCGACTCGGATGCTCGGCTTCTCCAAGTTGGCGTCGGCTTGAGGGAACAGCCGTGCTCCATCATCGGCATCTCTCTCGACATTCGGAAAAGCAAGAACTACCCTCAAGAACGCCTGAACGCCGAACCCTAAAGCCTGCGAACTCGATTGCAAGCCTGGGGGAGGGTGAGGCATTGCTATGAGAATCCACCACAGTCTGCCGAGAGCCCTATGTTTTCTCACCTGGGAGCAAGGAAATCCATACCATCTTCAAGATCTTTCACATCCTTGGTACGCCCACGGAAGAGGCGCCAGGGCTGGGAGTCGTGTTTTTGGGCCTGGGGGGGGGCCCTTCAGGCGCATGTTGAGGTTCATGTTTCCTGGTTCTGAGGCTTCCTGGTTTTTTTGCCGCCAATTTTGCGGGTCGCGCGCGCGCGCGCGGGCGTGTGCGAGAGTGAGCTGAAACTCAGCTTTGCGTCCGCGCCGTGGTAGGGCAGGCTGGGCAGTTCTGCATGTTATAGAGTTCTTCAGGGAGGGGGGTTTCAAGGGGGTAATGTAACCCAACCCTGAGGCCTAAGGCTCCCTAGGTACCTACCCCCCATGAACCCCCCTCGCTTAAGAGCCCCATAAGCATGCAGCAGCCTGGAACATTAACAGGCGCGGGGTGGGCGGCCATGAGATGTTTTCACGTGGGTTGGGCTGGGCACCCGAGAGCTGCTGATGCCCACACGGCCTGCCAGAGCGGAAGCCTCCCCTCACCCTTGAGCGCAGGAGTCCTTGCAGGTGTGGAGTTGCCCTAAAACCCAAACCTACTGGTTGCTTAAGAACCCCCTCAAAAAATGAGAAGTATTCTTCCTTATAAGGATCGTAAGGGGACTATAAGCTTGTGTTTTTTGGTGGAGGTTCATTAAGCAAATCGTAGAAAACAGGGAGCTTCGACTGGTGGTTGAACTCGACCTGATTGGGGTCCTGTTCTGTTTGGATTCCGTTGGATTCCGGGCTTAGCGGTCTTGTGGGCCTCTTGTGCTTTGTCCCTCGCCGACATCCTAAACCTTTTGCTTTACACCCTAAACCCGAGCTGAGCCTGCTGCACGGGGAAACAGCAATGGAACTTTTGCGCCCCTCCGCTTAAGGCTGTTGTGGATTTCTGGTGTTGTTAGGTGCAATTTTTTTGAGCAAGCTTTGCTGTAATGAGGGTTCAGCAGCATGATGACAACGACATGGACCTGCCCCATGTGGAGGCTGACCGAAAGGTCCAGCAGTTTTTCTCGAAGCCTAAGTCCCCAATCATTTACTTTCGGAATGGGTGCCTGATGGTGCGTGCCATGCGGGTGGCAAGAACCCTAGCATACTTGAGGGTATCTAAGAAGGGGGTTTCGTTCTGTTCCCACAGAAACGGAGCCAGAAAGGTATCTGCTGTGGCCATTCGCCAGGTCTGGCCCGGAGTCACAAGTCTGGTCGACTTCAAGGTGCCAGCTTTAGGGTTTAGGGTTTAGGGTTTGAGGGTTGAGGGTTTAGGGTTTAGGGTTTAGGGAGGGTAGTATCTTTTCCAGGCAGTTGTCTGCAGCCCAGTTGCAAAAGGGTTTAGGGTTTGGGGCTTCTGCTGGAGTTCGATCTCTCACCTTCCCAGTGCTATGCGCTGCCATCACAAGAACTCATGGCGTGAGTGAAGCCTGAAAGTGCACCACACCCAAATTACCACTCTTGGTGCGAGCGTAGGCCCAAAGCCCGTTGCTTGTCCTGGCCTTCACACTTCAAGGAAAGCTTCCCGAGATGGCGCGGCACTGGGTTTGCAGAAGTGCGCGCTCGAGCACCGTCGTGACTTGGCGTTGCAGTGGGCTTTGGGCGTGTGTGGGCAGTTATAAGTAGGGTCATATGTGCCCTAAGGTTACAAGTATAGTTTCCCTACTTACTACCCATGAACCTCCAAGTATGTAGACATAAGTACAGAACGCAGCGCTTGGCGCAGGTGCTTTTTGCGGCTTGGATTTGGAAAGACGTTTGGGGTCAGCAAGGATTGTATACACATATAAATGTAAGTAGAAGAATGCAAGTGTATATACATGCATATATGCAAATCATTGCACACACGTATACAATGTTGCACACACTCCATATCTATTTCTCTATCTATGCATGTATCTATCTTTAAACAAATAACGAAACAAATAAAAATATAAAGATATATATATATATATATATACACAAACATATATACATATATACATATATACATATACACATATATACATATATACAAACCTACATATATACATATATACATATATACATATATACATATATATATATACATACATATATACACATATACACATATACACATATACACATATACATATATACACATATACATATATACATATATCGTATGTATATAGTACATAGTCTATTATATCTATCTATCTATCTATCTATCTATCTATCTATCTATCTATCTATCTATCTATCTATCTATATATATACACATATACACAGACATATTATGCACAGCATATAACACATGTTTATAGACTGGTATATGCATGCACACACACACACACATTGCATCTGCATGTATGTATATGTTTTAACTCATGGGGCCATGCCACACGGTTTCTTCTTTAGCTCAAGTAAAGATAGTATAATGTGAATGTGCTCTGCGACCTTCTCTCTGTGCGCTGAACATGCGATAAAGAGAACGTGGAACCAAGGAAGCCCCTAAATAGGTAGGCGTGCGCGCACAACGCACCTGCATTCCGGAGAGCGCCCCCTGCGACATCAAGATTCGCGGCGCGCCTCCAGCTGCGGTCTTTGGGGGCTAGATGTCGTTTGGGCCAGCTTGCAGAACCTGGGCAAGCATGGTGCAGCAGCGCCAAGCATTTGTGTTCAGAACATAGCAGTGTGGTGACAAAATGGTTTGGCAGGGCAATCTTCGGAAAACATGCCAGTATAATCGCGCAACATCCATTCGTCTACCCTCAAGCCTTCATCGACTTCGTGCATGAGCAAGCACAAGCGCAAGTAAGAGTTTGTGTGTCTCTGTGTGTGTGTGTGTGTGTGTGTGTGTTTGCTCTGCTTGGCTTTGGCTTGGGCTTGGGCTTGGGCCTGGGCCTGGGCCTGGGCCTGGGCTTTGTATCTGCATGTTGAAAGACTTGAATTTGTTTGTGTCGTCTATGTTTCTCCTGCCTGGTTTTGGGGCTGCACGCTCAGGCACTTGCATGATCTTGCGCGTGTTCGCGGTACGGATGGCACTTTCCTGTGCTCACTATACTACAGTCCAAAAGTACGAACTAGGCTGCACGTAGCCAGTGGGCCTATGGACGTACATGTTCGGGTGCCACCGCTACAGCATAATAAGTACAGCACTCAGGAAGACAAGATCTGTCGGGGGCTCTGACCCCTGTCAACTAGGTTGTGTGACCCTAAACCCTAAACCCTAAACCCTAAACCCTAAACCCTAAACCCTAAACCCTAAACCCTAAACCCTAAACCCTAAACCCTAAACCCTAAACCCAAGAGCTGAAGCCCTTGGCTAGTTGTCAGATGAGGTTCGGCGAGGACGGCATAGACTTGCTGAGGCAGTGCCTTCGCTATGAACCCAGTATGCGGACCTCAGCCAGGCGTGCGCTGTCGCATACATATCTGGTACCAACCTCGAGGTTAGGGGGTTGAGGACCTTAGGCTAAGGGCTTCGAGTTTAGGTTTTCGGGGCTGTCTGAGCGCGCCTGGCCGAGCACGGCGTAGCCTGCTGAACAAAAAAAGGTCTTTGGGGTGCAAAAGAGCAGCACTGCAGTTCCCTCCTGCAGCAAAAACAGGGTTCCAGAGTTTGGAGAATATTGCGAGCCGTGAATTTAGGGTTTGGCCATGCAGACTGCTGGGGTGGAGGGGGCAGCATAGGCTGCGAGCACGGGCCTTCTTGCCAAAAAGGGGGTTTCAGATAAGTATTGTCCATACTATCCCTCTATGAATCCCTACGTAAGTTTGACTGCCCCAAATACATCAGGCAAGACGGAGTTCAGGTGCCGTGCCAGTCGTCCCGAAAAAAGAGAGCTGCTACCATACAAGCCGGCGAGGTTGGGTAGCAAAGCTCATTTCCTAGTTCTAGTTTAGATGGCGCTTGAGTGCGAAAAGGGCACCGGCCCAGTAGAAGCGTTGGTCATTGATGACGCTGGGAGATCCAAGGGAAAGCAAGACCATGCAAAATGAGCTCACGTAAAGCAAAACCCTATAAACCTTACAAACCCTATAAACCCTATACACCCAAAACCCTATAAACCCTATAAACCCTCTAAACCCTAAAGCCTATAAACCCTGAACCTTAAACCCTATAAATCCTAAGCCCTATATTCCCGAGCCTTATAGGGTACCCTGATTGTTTGAGCCCCCCTTCTGAGCAGCTAGACGTAATGTATGGACCTTCAAGTCGTATGACCGGCGCGCTCGAACGAGTGAGCAAGTTTTTTGCTCCACAGCCACGGAGGGGAAGTGGCTGAGAGTCCATAGGACTGGGCGCACGGGGGTTTGCTCGAGCTGAAAAAGGGGCCGCGCACGCTTTGCCATTCACGAACAACCCCACACGCCACCCCACACCCTATGCCCAAACTCTTGGAAGCTGAAGCACCGAAGCCCAAAGCACTTCCAGACGCCCTGGGCTAGCGTGCTGTGCACGCGGCGCTAGTTGCCGGCTGGGTGAAGCGGATGTAAGAAGGGTCTACCAGACATTTGTCAAGCCCCAAGCCTGAAGCCCCTGAACCGTGGTCCCAGGGAACATACCCCTTAATTAAATCGCATAAGGATCCTGAATATGGTGGTTTACCCCTACACCCTCAACCCTAAACCCTAAACGCTAAACCCTGAACCCTAAACCCTAAACCCTAAACCTCCTTATTTAAGGGGTATTGGGCTCTTTGGGGTGTCTTCAGAGTGCTCCCGGAGGACCGGCATGCACTCTGGTTATGGCCGGCGAGGTGCGCCGATCAGCTGGGCCAAGTTATCGCGCCGTGAGATTGTCATAGAAGTCATATACTAGAAATAGAAACCTACAATAGAAACCTACACAGCAGAAAACACTGCAAAATGCTGTTCATGCAACATCACGGCCGACTCTTGGGCCATAAAGCCACACCCTCCACTGCCCTGAGCTGTCGGAGGTTGAGGGGTCAGTGGTAGACGCAGCTTTGGAGCACAGCGTCGGCCGGTACCTGCCGGGATAGCTAAGCACGGCACATGAAAGCAAGTCTGCAAGAGGCAGAACCTTTGTTTTGAGTGGACTTCCGCGTTGGAGGGCGACGTGGCGCTGGCAGCTTGCTGTTTCTCCTTGCCGTGGTGCCGCAGCGAGGACGGCAGGGTTTCGAGTTCGGAGGACGGTTCAGGAATGCGGCCTCAGCCAAACCACCTCCTTAGGCCCAAAGCCCAAAGCCCTGAAACTTTGTGCACCTGGCCTGAGCTCCGCGGCGCACGCTGAAATCCACTCGTTTGTGGTGCCCTGCGGTACCTCTTGCCTAATTTTGGGGTAGGCTCTGTGGGATGTTTGGGCTTAGGGGCAGATCGGGGCATGGAGCCAAACGAGCCTGGAATCCGTGGGGGCATGAGACTTCTGGCTTTCGCTGGTGCCTGGCAGGGTAGGAAGCTGGCCTTCGCAGTTTGGCTTTCGCATTTGGCTCGCGCAGTTGGCTCATGCATGTGGCTGTAGGCCGTTTGCGTTTTGTGCGTCGCTTGCCCTTTTTTGCGTGGCTGTCTTTTGAGGCTTAGTTGCGTGACTTTGTAGAAGTTAGAAAATGCCTCGCTGCAGTTGAGACGGCTTGATGGAACACTTGCGAGGGCAGAGTGGAGTGATCCAGCACATCTTGTCGTTGTTTGGAACAACGGGCAGACTTTAGGAGGTTTTCTGCGGGAGCATACCTGATAACCAGGCAGGTCGGGCGCGGACCTGAGCAACGCCATGCCCGGCAGGCAGAACGGATGGCATCGTTGATGCCGCCTACATGCGAAGGCCGGACTGGGGGTTTACGAAACTGGGGGCCCCGCAATATAGACCCCCAAATAGTAGGACCCCTTGCAAGAAGGACCCCAAATACGGCACGGAAAGTCCCACATGACGGATGATAGTCCATACTTGGAGGTTCATGGGTAGTCATAAGTAGGGCCATAAGTACCCGAAGTGGGGCTTCAAGTATAGCTGCCATACTTAGAACCCTACTTATAGCTACCCATGAACCTCCAAGTAGGTCTTGGAATCTTGGGATGCTCCCAGGCTGGACTGCGCCGACAGCAAGAACTGGACGGACTTCCGCCACCTCCTCGTCGCAAGGATGGAGGCCCGGAAGGGGTGGCGGGGTGTGGGCTCACTCTTTTGCGGGGTTTCCGAAGTTAGGGGGAATGATAAGACCAGATGCAACAAAGGGGAATTTGTAAGTAAGGGAATCCATTTGGGGGGTCTGTATTAGGGTCCCTTATTTTCCCAAACCCCCATTTGGGGGGGGGGTGTTGCCAAGTGGGTGTTGGCCTCAGCGCCCAACTCCCGGCCTTCTTCACACATCCCTCAGCCCCGAATCTCCAACATCCTAATACCCCAAAGCCCCCCAAGCATATCATACAAATGCAACGACCAACCCTGCAAGGCCCTACAAGCCCTGCACCCGGCAAAAAACTGAACTAGGAGGGAGGGCTTGGCTGGCATGCCGGTGCACACTCCCTGTTCGAGGTGAGAAGGCGCGTGGCGCAAAGACTCCCCCCAAAGCCCGCCCCCTGAATTCCACCCTAAACCCTGAATCCGAAACCCTGGGGCGTGCCAAAACCCAAAACCCTAAATCCCTGAATAGTCCCTAAACCCTAAACCCTAAACCCTAAAGCCTAAACCTTAAACCCGAAACCCTAACCCTAAACCCCTGAATAATTTGGACCTTCCGCAGGCGGGTGCGATCCTGGGCCGCGACCTGGGGCTCCAGGAGGCAGCTGAAGGCCAGGCGAGGTCGGCTAGTTGAGGTGGATGTCCCTGGTTTAGGGTTTAGGGTTTAGGGTTTAGGGTTTAGGGTGTAGGGTTTAGGGTTTAGGAGCCCTGAAGCAAAAAGGGTTTAGGGTTTAACTTCCGCAAGCCTACCATAAGCCCGGCAAAAGCCCCGAACCTCCCGAATGCCTACGTGGAGAGTTTTAGAGGTAGGGTTATAAATAGGGTAACTCTGCTTATAACCTTACGTAAGGTACTTATAACCCTGCTTATAACTACCCGTGAACCTCCAATTAAGCCCTAAACTTGGAGAACCCTAAGCCCGTCCCGAAACCCTAAACATTTGGCAAAAAACTTTGAACCCTAAACCAGCCCCAACACCTGGGAGGCTTGCTCGCCCACGTGGACGCCCAGGGCAGCCGAGTTTTGGAGGAGCACCATGTCAGTTGCCACGCAGACTTCGGGTTCAGGGTTTAGGGCAAGTGCCTCTAGAATCCTCAACGAAGTACAATGATTATCATATTATTACAAGATACCAAAGAAGGCTGGAGTCGATGGACAAGATGTGACTTCTTGGACTGCTCGAAGGTGTCACTACTCCTGCTCCCCTGGAGGAGCTCGGCCAGGATTTCCTGGCGACGCCCGGCGCAGCGAAGGGGAGGGGTTCAGGGTCTCAGACGCCCCATGGGCTCCGATATACTAGGTAGCCCAGTGGTACCCTTTTGCCATTTTTTTTCTGGGTTCTAGGCTCCCTTTTTAAAGTAACCAACCCCGAAAAAGGGTACCCTTGCGAAAACATGGTGACTGGGCTACCTAGTTGTCCAGGAGTCTACAAGACTCTGTAGTGGCATTTAGCATAGTCAGGGCCCAGGTCATGGGCTGTGAGTTTGGTATTTCAGGGAGGGTTTATAAGCTTTTGAAGGCTTGTTAAAGGCTGTTTAAGGGCTTTTCAGGGTTTTAAAGTGAGATTCTGGGGTTTCGGGTTCCGGCTTAGAGGTTTAGGGGCTTCGTTTGGTGCAGAGCCTCGGCAGTTCTGGATTGAAGGGCTTTGATGGGTTTAGGGTTTTTCGGGCTGGGACGTTCCGCCTGATGCTAGCAGTCCTTAATGGGGATTAAATTAGGGGGTACTATAATCCCCATTGAGGACTGCAAGAATAAGGGGGAGCATCCCAATCTTCAGAAGCCTACTGCAAGCAGGCTTCCCCTGGCTGCAGAGGAAGGGGGGGGGGCTTCAGGTTTTTGTTGGCTTAAGAGGGCTTCCAGTGTTCCTTCTTGTCTTTCAAGTCTCCCTAAACCCTAAACCCTAAACCCTAAACCCTAAACCCTAAACCCTAAACCCTAAGAAGCATAAGATGCCGGTGCAAAGTAAGGACCCTGCTTGGCCAGCCCGGCACCCAGTGCAACCGAGCCGACTGTCCCTCCACGTTTGTCAGCTTTCTGGGTTTAGGGTTTTAGGGTTTAGGGTTTTAGGGTTTAGGGTTTAGGGTTTAGGGTTAAAGTTCGTTTACAGTTCCCTCCGCCGACGCTCCTCGAAGCTAGCATACGACAGCCCTAAACCCATGCCCAGCTCACCGATACTTTTGCAAGGTCGATGCCATGTAAACCACGCTCTTTTTCCCGGTTGCATGCAGAGTCACCCACAGAGGCGACGCGGCCCAAGCAGGTCCTGCTTTGCGGGGTACCAGGTGCACCTCCCACCACTTTGGGGAGTTGGGCAGTTCCATGCCAAGCTTGGGCCCTTTTTTTAAAGAGTTCCGGCGACCCCCCCCCAAGACATGTAGGCCGCAAAAAATGCATGGCCTCAGCTTTGCGGATGTTTCTGCTGCCCTTGCATTTCTCGGATTCAGCCACTTGCACACGTCGATTAGACTGGGTGTTGCGGCCTGGGGTACCGGCGGCCTGGGGTACCGGCCGCCTGGCAGTGAAACATCCGCAAAACGTCCTCTTGCCCGTCCACATCCAGCTCCCCTGGACGGAGCCAGAGGATGGGCGGGCGGGACCGTTAAGGCCCGAACCCAGGGAACCCTAGAGCCCTCTAAAACCCCGAAAGCAAGCCTACCGGTAGGTAGAGAAGAAAAGCTCCGGCGCAGGCCGCCTGCCTGGCGCGAGTCCTTCGCTATGCGGCCGAGGAGGCCTTGGGTCTGGGCTCTGGTCTCGGGGTTGAGGGTGTCAAAGGATGCTTTTTACTCAGTCTTGCAGGCACCAGAGACTTTGACTCGGGTGTGAGCCTGGGTTTTTTCAGGCACAGGGGCTCAGTTGCCGCTTCCCATTATTTATGCTGGCCGACGAATGGCCCTAGCCGAACCGGACCTGAGTTCCTTGGCTGCTCCTTGGTCACTTAAAGTCAGGTTGCGTTACCTGGCTTGACGAGAGCTTAAGGACTTAAGGGGGGTTTAAATTAGTTTTTCGGCTCCGAATTCCGCAGCGCAGCTTTCGGCTCCAAGGGAAGTCCCGGGGCCCCTTCAGAAGGTACCTGCGCATCAGCCCTTAGCCCGAACAAAGCTCTAAACCCAAAAACCTACCAAACTCGTGGGAAGAAACCCTAAGCTCCACACCCCTCAGCCCGCGGGATGCCTGGCGGAAGCCCTCAGGCCCTCCCCAAACCCCTAAGCCCTACCCGAAAACTACTAAGAATGCGAAGAAGGAAAAACCCCCCCGAAGAAATGATAGGTCTTGGGTTGCCCAAGTTACTCTAAAACCCTAAGCCCTCAACCTCAAACCCTAGCCCTTAACCCTAAGGCCCGAAACCTTAAGCCTTAAACCCTAAACCCTAAACCCTAACCCTAAACCCTAAATCCTCAACCCCCAGAAGCGAGAAGACGTCGCACCCATGGGCTCCGGCGCCTCGGCACAGCTGGCAGCGCGCCTCGAGGCCGCCTCTTCGGAGGAGCCTTATATATATATATATAATTCGTTTATTCATTTTCATTTTTGTAAAAATTTTTTTAGGTCTGAGGTTTAGGGTTTAGGGTTTAGGGTTTAGGACAGAACATCCCAGGAGACCTGAAGAAAAAGGGTTTAGGATTTTAGGGCTTCAGGGTTTTGGGGTTTAGTGTAGTAGGGTTTAAGGGTTGGTGGGGAGTTTTTGACGTTTAGGGTTTAGGCCCTAGACGGGCTCAGGTCTGAGGGCGAACAATGAGGGTGCCTTAAGGGGTTGAGAGGGCCTCGAAGGATCCGAGGGCCCCCAAAGCTTCATCCTTAAAACTTGGGATGTTCCCCCTTAGACTGAGGGGTTCCATATTCCCTACTAAGGACTGTTTTTAGCACAAGGGGGAACATCCCAACTTAAGGCCCTATACTCGCCGCATCTTGAGATCAGAGGACCTGTCGGAGCTGCTTGCGGCCTTGCCGCCGGCGGAGGCGGTTGGGGGGGGGGAAGATCGTTCTTCTGTGGCCCTTGTAGGCCTCTGGCTTTAAGCCTTGCAAGCCGCCCGGCACGCAAACCATACCCGAAGCACCTCAAATCCCCCCCCACCCCCCAAAAAAGAATAATAGAGTTTACGAAAAGAAGGGACCCCTGTACCTTGTACTATACCCCCCAAATAGTAGGATTCTCTTGTAGTAAGGAGCCCAATCAGCTACCCCTAAATTTCGGAAACCCCTAAACCCTAAACCCTAAACCCTAAACCCTAAACCCTAACCCCTAAACCCTAAACCCGAAACCCTCAAGGCCAGGATAAATAGAAATTGTAGGTGTTTCATTACGAGCAGCTCGTGCAATAATCCTTCATCCTTCACAGTGTAAAAATATTAGCCAAACCCTTCAGCCAGCCCCCCCCTCAGCCCACTTACCAGCCCCAACGCCCCGCCCCTCCAGCTAGCCCCTCCAGCCTCCACCCTCTCCCCTCTCCAGCCCCTCTCCAGCCCCTCTCCAGCCCCTCTCCACTCCAGCCCCCTCTCCTCTCCAGCCCTTGTCCAGGCCCTCTCCAGCCCCTTTCCAGCCCCTCTCAGCCCCTCTCCAGCCCCTCCCCTCTCCAGCCGATCTCCAGCCCCTCCAGCACTCCCCCAGCCCCGGCCCCACAACCCCAAAGTCAAAATGACAAATGTAAAAAACAAAACCCGACAAAACCCCACAAAACCCCACAAAACCCCGGACACAAACCCTATACAATTTCTATAAACCCTAAACCCTAAACCCTAAACCCTAAACCCTAAACCCTAAACCCTAAACCCTAAACCCTAAAACCCTACACCCTACACCCTACACCCTAAACCCTAAACCCTAAATCAAAGGGCCTCTAAGCAGCCCCCGACGGGAGCTCCCCCGCTGGAGGCGAAGAAGGTGGCAGATGCTTTGGAGGTGGGGCAGGGCAGCCCTAACCCCTAAACCCTAAACCCTAAACCCTAAACCCTAAACCCTAAACCCTAAACCCTAAACCCTAAACCCTAAACCCTAAACCCTAAACCCTAAACCCTAAACCCTAAGCCCTTAAGCCCTTAAGCCCTTAAGCCCTTAAGCCCTTAAGCCCTTAAGCCCTTAAGCCCTTAAACCCGAAACCCTAAACCCCTAAACCCTCGCCTGGCTTGTCCGAGTGTGAGCGACTAAAGGGACCCCAATGTAGACTCCCAAATAGTAGGATCCCCTTATAAAAAACGGACCCCAAGAAAGTACCCCTAATGTCGTAAACCCTCAAGTCGTTAGTGCATCTAGGGCCCTTGTGGTTAGACACCCCGGTTCGGGCAAAGCTAACACAAGCCCAGACCCCGGAACCGCAGCCGCAAAGGTGAGCACTGCCGGGGCCGACCAGGCCACCGCAGGTTCCACCGGCGAGGAGGAACCAACTTGCCTTGAAGCCGTAAACCGACAATGTGAAGGGTTTAGCAACCTAGATACGGGACCCTAGACCCTGCAGCCATGTTGTTGTCGCATGGAGGTCGGTAGTCGTCGTAGCCCCTTGCCCGCCCTTCAGCATGAGCGGGGTGCAATCCCGTCGACAGAAGCTGCTTCCGTCATCGTTCCTTGCGGCCCTCAGGGGTTTAGGGTTTAGGGTTGAGGGTTTCTGTGTTACTGCCGCCCTATGGCCCCAAAAACCCCAGAGTTGATGAAACAGCAACTCGTCTGCGCAACCTGAGGAGATCCCGCCGTCCTGGGGTTGGCCCAAGGAGCCGTATGACCCTGAGGCCTGTTTTTTTTTCAAGACAATGTTAGCCCTGGAAAAATTCGGGAAATCCAGTGAAGTTCTCGAGAGTTAATGATAATTGAGATGAAACTTTCGGGCGCAGCCAGAAGAGGGGGATTGGGGTCGGGGCCCATGAGGATTTGATGGGCCTGATGCGCACGGTACTTCTTAACCCAATCATAACTGTACTTATAACCCACTTATAAGAACCCAATCATAACTGTACTTATAGCCCACTTATAAGCCCCTTGGGTGCCCTGATATGGTTTTCACAGGGTTGTAAGTGCAGTTCGTATTGGGTTAATAAGTACCCTGACCCTAAACACTAAACCCTATAAACCCTAAACCCTCAACCCTAAACCCTAAACCCTAAACCCTAAACCCTGAACCTCCAAGCAGGGGTCTTGGGGTAGCGCTCTGAGAGGCGCTTCGGCTGTACGTCCTGGAGGCCACCAAGCCCACGCAGCAGGAGCGCCCGGCTTGAGTTTATGCAGTTGCGCACCTAAGCTTGAGGTATATGTATATATATATGAATATATTTATATTTATATGTATACATATATGTATATATATATGTATAATGCTAACAAAAATAAGAATAAGAATAATAAGATCCAAATGAGGAAATATCTAAGTCTAAATATAAATAGATGGGTATATATATATATATATACGTTTCTGTATATGTATATGCATATGTATATGTATATGTATTTGTATATGTATATGTATATGTATATGTATATATATATATATATATATATGTATATGTAGATGCATATGTATATGTATATATATGTATATGTATATGTATATGTATATGTATATGTATATGTATATGTATATGTATATGTATATGTATATGTATATGTTTTTGTATATGTATATGTATATGTATATGTATATGTATATGTATATGTATATGTATGTAGCTTACATGTTTCACCTTGCCCCAGGATCGTTCTCAAAAGCCTTGCAAGTTGTACAATATCAACCAAAAACAGGAATGATTGGTGTATCTTCGATACGCCGTGATGTGATCAGGGTATGGCCATGAAGGATGAATTCCTTTTGCTTGTGGAACAATATGAGCTAAAGAGCGTGGCAGACACATCTCGGCACCCAAGGCTCGAACGTTGTCTGCAAGTTTCTGTGGGCAGGCAAGCAGCAAAACGAGAGTAGCATGAGGACGCCAGCAGAGGAATCTTAAGATACTTTTGTCGTACTTGGTGGCTGACACTGATACTGTGTGCATGGCGGGCCTTCATGTGCCGTCAATGGCAAGAGCTTCGATTGACAGTTGAACTGGTTTGTCGGAGAAATGGACTGAACAGGCCGATTGTGAAGTCCATCATCTTCCGATTCTTAGACACCTTCCCGCGTATTGTGGTTGCAGGGTCGCTGGATGGCGAGGTGCTGCTTTCCCGCCTTTGCCTTTGGACGGGCAGCTTGCTAGAAGGGCGGCAGCTTCGACTGCCCCATGCACCTGGACATGCAGTCCATTCTGTCGTCGTTGCAAGGCTCGGCGGGGCAGACGACAGGACCATTGCCACAGGCAGTGCAGACGGCTGTGTCCGCCTCTTTGCTGCTGATGGTATACTGCTCCTCAGTTTCCAGGCATACGTGCAGCGTCCTGTATTGTCCCTGCAGCTGGGAAGCACAGCCGTAGGGGCGACGTTTCTAGCCACGGCCACTGGTGGAACTGTCGCCAGAGAGGAAGGCGAGTTGATTGACGCTGCGCATCTTTGGGAGTTCGAGGACATACGCGCGGTGCCCCAGGTCCGATGTGCCTTTCAGCATGGCTTGGGTGTGAATGGTCTTGCAATGTCTGTGGATCACCATCTTGTGGCAACAGCTTCGGACGATCGCAGTGCGGGGCTTTTTGATTTCGCGGGGCGCCGCCTGGTATGCTGCCATGGCCATCTCTCATTTGTTTGGGAGGTGGCGTTGTCCGGCGATGCCCAACTCCTGGCAACTGCCTGTGAGGATGGGCAGGCGCGGCTCTTCACTGC